GCGGCGCAAAGATCTTCCAAACCATCAGGTGACGGCAGTGGATGGTGCAGGCCATCATGGCGCAGAAAATCTAAAATGCAATAGTTAATTAGTAAAACGTCTTTGGATTAGAGCCCAGCGTGAATCATTCAATTTTTGTTATATGAAACTTTTGATTTGTTTAATTCAATTCTATGTGAAATAAATTTAATGTTTTTCTTAATCATTTCGAATTGAATAAATAATTTTTATAAATTTTTTTGAATTTGCCAGATTTTTTTGTGATTTCTTTTGAGAACAAAAAGTAAAAATTTTTAACAAATCAAACAAATTGTCAAATCAAAACTGCTTAGAATATAAAATTCATGCAGATTTAATTACAAAATGATAGCCCTTTCTTCTTCAAAAGAAATTGTCGTTTGAATTATTTCGGACTTCATGCCATTCATTCATTCAATTCTATTAAACTCAAAATTCAAATTCATTCAATTCTTTTAAACTCAAAATTCAAATTAATTCATTCATATAAAAAAAAAAATTCAAAATAATTCATTGAATCCATTCATGCAGGGCTCTACTTTGGATTTAATGTAGTCGCTTACCTTGAGTCCCTGCAACATGAAGAACTGGGTGGCCAGCTTGAACCCGGCTCCCAGGAAAACATCCTCGTACTCGTACAACGTCAGTTCGCCCCTCGTCATATCGAAGCCAACCGCCTCGTTGGCCAAATCCGACATGGAAGTGGTCGCATCTGCCTTGCCACCACTCCTGCAACTCCGGATGAGGTTGGGGAACAAGGCGAACAGCGAAAAGGTCTCCGTATTTAGCAGAGAGTACATGCAGAAGAAGAAAATGGGTCCGCAAAAGGTGTTCAGAATGACCAGGGCGCCGGATATTAGATTCGACTGTCCAATGCCAGTGGTGCGACCGACGAAGGCGGCACGCCACTCAATCTGCGACAGCGTCGTCTGATGCGAGGTGGCAAAGAAGCAGAAATGGGCCAGCAGGAACCAGCCAACCAGGGCCGTAAAAGTGGGCTGGATGCAGCTCTCTGAAATGTCTGCATTAGTTACACATTTTAAGATATTTCCAAATCACTTACCAAAACTAGTAGCTGTTCGGTAACGCAATATACCGTGAACACTCAGCAAAATAGCTCCTACGGCCACGCAAACAACCAAACCGATGGAGGCACGCGGTTCCAGGAGAACAATCATCACCAGAGCCAGAAACACGCCAAAAGCAATGACAATGGAGGAGTAAACGGTAGCCAATCCATACACCACCGGTATCTGATTACGTCGCTCGTCGTCATCGCCTTCGTACATGCGTTTCATCTTCTTGAAGATCTCCGGCACAATGCTCTCGGTTCCGTTGATGGTTACAGTATGCGAATTCCTGGGAGGCAGCACAAAAGTCATCAGCGGCGCCCAGGAAACCACTATAATCTGCAGCAACAGCAGACCGTAGATAACCAGAGCCATGGCATCGATGTGGGTGCGCTGGATGTTCTTAATGGAGCTATTGGCCAGCAAGACATGACCGCCGGCGCAAATCGAGGCCACCGTAGGTCCATAGCGAGCCAGCAAGACGTTGGGCGAGTTACCAGTCAGATTGCCGCACGATCTCAGATATAACCGGGTGAGGGTGGTGTAAACTACGAGCACCACAACGGCTAGGATGTAGGTCTTGCCCGTTCCCGGCTTCTTGAGCGAGAATCCTGCTCCGCCGCTGTTGGCAAAGTCCGAGCAATTGCCCTGCTCCTCGCGGCATCGGAATAGTGTGTAGGCAAAGCGTATTAAGCATATAGCCAAAAAGCTGGCCAGGATCAGTCTCAGGGCCGTGGAGCGTAGGAACTGGGAGGCCTTGAACTTTGTCCTGAAATCCAAGCGAGCACTTAGCCGCAAAAGTTCGTGGGAGAGCAGCAGAATGGCTGCCGCCAAAAGGTACGACAAGATCTTGGCCTCTTGAATGACGAAGCTATTGGAGAAGAACACTCCCACGGAGGCGAAGAGCAGCAGCCGCGTGGGCATGTCTCCGAAACGCTTGACCGCTGACCAATTGGTGGCAATGTTGGTCCAGTGGCGCAGCGTATGGAAGGCCAGGATAGCAGCACTGGACAAGGCCGTGAAGAAGATCACTCCATGCTCCTCTGTCTTAAAAGAGAACGTCTTAAAGTAGCGATAGCCAAAAACTCCGGCGGCCAAATTGATGAGGTATGTGTAGAAGACCTCCTTGGCCTTGAAAATGTGCATATAGTCTGCTGGCCGCGAGTTGTTCACCAGCAGGAAGATGAAGAACAGCGGCAGGAAGCTGAAGAGCAGTCCCTGCGACATCTGTGTGGGATCGAACCTCACCCAGATCTCGCGGCAGGTGCCCAGAATGTCGCGCAGATTGGCATTCAGATCCCTGACAAAGGACTTGTAGGCCACCTCGTTGTAAACCGTCTGCACTCGGTGGCTGAGCAGTATGAATTCCGTCTCCAGTTGGTCCATCTGGTCCACATTGAAGGTGCGCTTGTTCTCCAAGGCGTACTGGAAGAAGTATCGATAGATCTGCTGGGCATTCTGCCAGGAGTGCAGCAGCAGAGTCTGGAACTTGTTCAAATGCGGCACTTGCAGATCGGGCACAATGTTAAAGTTGACCAGGCCCAGATTGGAGTAGGGTATCGGGACGCCTAGTATGGTGGCCAGCGTGGGGACCAGATCAATCTGGAAAGCAAATATCGTTGCTTATCAGCCGTGACGTGACTACCGCCTGTCTTTATCTTATCTCACCTGCTGCAGCATTTCGCTATCTGAGCCCGAATCATTGCCGTAGAATCTGTGCTGCTTGGAGTAGGCAAACAGCAGGGCATTGGTTTCGTCATCGGTGTCGCCGCCATGATCGCCGGATGCCGTCATGCCATGGTCGCCCATCACCAGCAGAGTGGTCTCGTTGTCCATGGCCGCCACCACGGATCTAAGTGATAAATAGATTTAATTTCTGATCCTAGCAATTAATATAAATATAACCCACCTTATCACCTCGTTCATCTCGCCCAGCTTGCGCGCCATCTCCTCGTGCATGGGTCCATGCTTGTGGCCGCAGTGATCCACGCCCAGGAAGTGGGCCACCAGCACCTGCCAATCATCGCTGGCCAGCTCCTTGGGCAGATGCTTCAGTATCTGATTGTCCACGCTGTCCAGATCGAATATATCGAAGCTGGGATAGGAGTAGGATCGCTTGAAGCGCCGCGGATACAGATCCGTCCAGGTGCTGTCGCCCAGGAAGACCAGCGGCAGATCGCTCTTGACCATCTGATCAATGACATTGTCCTCGTTGATCTCCGGCGAGGCAAAGTTCGAGCCAATGTCGATGAAGGTGGGCAGGCTGCCGGTGGTCAATCCTTTCAAGCGCTGCAACGTGGTGGTGGGCGGATCCGCCCGGAATCTCATGAGGCGGGCGTGGTCGGGACTCTGCTGCAGCAGCTCCTGCAGCACCGACAGTTTGTTTTCATAGGGCAGGGGCTCCGTGACGTGCTCCTTGTACAGGCCAAACTCGTATTTCAAAGCGTCCACAACCAGGACAATGACCTTGGACTTTTGCGGAAGACAGAGATTGGAGGAGGCGTTGACATCCTTGAAGATCTCGTTCACCACCTCATCGGTGAGCACGTATTCCTGTTTAAGGGTATGGGATTAGGTATCTATTGGTTTCTTCCTAGCTTCCTACTTACAGCATTCGGATCCGTGGACAACCTGCGGCAGGTGCTCGTCTCCGTTTTGGACACCCGGGCCAATAGGAATCCCCGCGAGAAGAGCAGCACTCCGCTGCTAATGAGGAAGGCCAGCCAAATGAGTACGAACACATACGTGAAGTTCATCTTTCGGCTGTGATTAATTAACTAACTAGGCACACAAATGCTTTCGCTTAATGAGTAATAAACTTTTCGGCATTTAGAACAATGCTGCTGGTGGGTGGCGGAGGGGGTGTTCCTGCGGCTCGCCAGCCCGTTTACGTCGTATAAAACTATGTTATTTAATTGCACTTTATTTCGGAGTGGTTTATTTGGTCTCCGGCATCACGTTGCGTTCTATTTGATCGCTGTTTTCATTTAAAATTCGTCATTTTCAAAGATTTTCTTATGGGCCGAAGAAAAAATCTGAGGAAGATGTAAGAGCGTTGCCACCCTGTCAAATCAAACAGCTGCTTGACGTTCATCCCTGGATTTTGGCAGGGTTGTCAGCTTGAAAGAGGTTATGGCGGGATTTTTGAAATTACTTTAATTATTTTTAAAAATCTGTTGGTAAAGAAATATATTTTTTAACATTAGATTTAAAATTATTTTGTATAGCTAAAATATATATTCCCAATCTAAAAAATAAATAACATAGTCCTTGTTTTTATGGGGCAAAAAATTTTGCATTTATTCAAAGGTTTATACACATATAGCAATTCAGCATTAGCAACAAATCGGGTGCGATTCCTCTCTCTTTAGCATTAAGGGTTCTACCCTCTTAAAATTACCAATTTTTATTATTATGCACGCAAGCTCTGATCATAATTCAAGTATAGAATTCTAAGTAAATTTGGAATTGGCTTTCTATCAGGATCGGGAACGCCATCTAACCAAGGAACTGAACGCCTAGAGAAGAAATAAAAGTGTAAAACAATTGTATATATAGGTACTTTAACTGCAATGCTCGATTTGCTAAAATTTTTGTTTTACTAAATATTGGAAACATCTGGGAATGACAACTGGTGGACACCCAAAATGGTTAAGTCTCTAAATTTACACTTAGATTGAAAGTTAAATAAATGAATGCAGCCAAGCCCTCCGATCTACGCTCATCGGCTTAAAGTTTACCATAATCATGCAGTTCGATGGTGTCTCACAGGCAAATACAATTAGATGCATACAATATGTGCTCCCTTTGGCCAAATATGACGCACAAATTTTTAGTTAATTCAAGTTATACATATTTAACCGTAACGACTACACACGCATATGAACTGTGGGTAATTAAATTCTGATCCTGTTGTTAGTGCGCAGACACGACAATTCGCATTAGTTTAATAAGTTATTAGAGTGGGTGCGTGGGTCTGTTTTTTGTGTGTAGTATAGATCTCTCCACTTTATCGACGCGCTTAGCTTCGGATTCGTCCCGAAATCTATTTAGTAAGTGAGTCTGTGGGTGAGTTCAGGCCCGAGGATGTGTTGTTCTCGTCCAAGGCGTCTGGAAAACTGGATACCGAGCCCGAACGGGATGTCACCTTGGTCTACAATGGAACAGAAAACCGAAGAGATTGTAGTAGAGATGCCGCAGCAGCATTGTCGCATAGAGTAACGTTGTGTAAGCAAGCAAATCAACCGAAGGATCCCAATTCAGAGTGAGTTTAGAGTAGTGGGTGGTGGTGAGCAAGTGTGGAGGTTAGTGTCAAACGGTTAGACGGGAACCAAACAGAAACAGAATCGCAACAGTATGAGAGTAAGAGATGTGTAAAGACAGATATATAATAAAATAGTAGTTACCGCATGAGATTGGCACATAAAATTGTTGTGTTCATAGCTTACTTTAACGTTCTCGTAGGCAGAGCCCACCGAAGCCTCGATAGAACGCATCGACTCGGAGTTTTTCATTTGCGACAGTTTCGACGAAATGCCACTGGTGATGCTGCCAAACACCGAGGCGGTCTTCTCGCCCGTGGACTTGAGCACAGACTCCGTGCGTTGGTATCTGGGGGAGAATGAAAGCAATCCCAGCATTAGTCACTCATCTAGGCAGTTGTTTTTAGTACAAAAAGTGGGCAAACAACAAATGTGCTTTTAGTTTCAAACAGGCGAGAGTAGGTTATTGTGTTATGTGTTAGTCCGGGGACTCCGGGAGTATTCCACCGAATAAAAAGAGGCATCCTCAACCCAGTTACTTACAGGGGTGCCTCGTGCACGGCTTTAGTAAACGTGCCCACGCTCTGCTCCACCGATTGGTAACTAAATAGATATTTCAGCGTTTTAACATGAGTTCGAAACAAAAAGCATGGTTAGAAATTAAAACTGGCTAGTAGGGTTAATGCCCTGAACCTGCACCCTCAGCACAAACTTACACAGTGGTTTCCTTGAGGTTCTTGATGCCCTGGTTCATGTCGTCCGTCACCTCCTTCCAGACGGTGATGCCCAGCTTGCGCTTGAGATCGGAGGCATGGCGCGTCTTCGAGGCGAGAACGGTGCGCAGCGTGTTAATCTCCTCCTCAACGCGGGCGAGCTCCTAAAATACAGATATGATTAGGTAAAAGGATCTTCATCAAAAACGTAACTCTTACCTGACTCCATTCAGCACGACGCTGCTCCTTCTCCTCCACGGAAAGCGCAGCGAACTCGGCGGCAATTTCTGCGGATGCCACAGAAGCTGCTGGAGATGCTGGCTCCGACAGGTTGGCTGTATTATCTGGCCACGAAAAGAGAAACCATTAAATCTCTAAATCAATCAAAAGAAATAGTAAATCGGGTGCGTTGAAAGGGGAGGCTGTAGCTTAATTTCAATGTTGTCTGCGGGCAGTGTTTATGTACCTCCTTTGAAAGCAACCTCCTCAAAGACTTTGTCATAGGCTGAGAGTTTGTTTATGTACGGTTTTCAAATTGCAAAGACATGAGTTGGTTAATTGGTTAGTTCTGGGCTTGGGTTAATACTCACAAACTGTCGAGAGGCGAAAGGCAGCCAAAGAAAAGAGAAAGACAGAAAAGTTAGTCGGGTTAGTCATGGTTGAAAGGGGTAAATAATAAAGCCCCAAAACCCCAAACTGGTACCTCTACTTCTTTGCCCAATATTGAGAAATCTCTTGTAGTTATCACTGTTCGATATTTTGGCCAGATACGGCTTGGAGAAGTCTATGAACGTGACCTTAACGTCGCGCATGCTTCGCTTGGCAAAGAACTTTAGCCGGAAGCGCTTGGCCATCGAGGAGGAGGGTGCCTGGTTGGCCAACTTGGCGCCAATGAACTCCGCCTCCACGGCCTGCAGTTCCAGGCTGTTCGTATAGTCCGAGTCCACATCGTAGAAGATCTGATCGAGAGTCAAATTACGCAGATAGAGCTCGGCCTCACTCTCCTCCTCCTGGCCATCTGCGTACCAATCCAAGACGGCATCGGTGGCTTCCGGATCCAGGGAAGGTGTGCTGGTGAGATCATCGATGCCTGGCAGGTAGGAGTCCTCAATGAACTCCAGGCTATTGGGTTCCGATTCGCTCATTCTGTGGCAATGGCGGCGGTCTCTTTCATCTTTGGCAGCAACTTTCTATTTTTGAACGTGGCAGCTGACGCGCAGGAGGAGCAATCCTAAGCGTGGGGTATCACGTTTCCACGGTCAGCTTCGAGCTCATTTTCTTGGCCCTGCTTTCAGCCACTTCGGTGGTTATTTGCTGAGCTTTCTGTTCTGGCCCCTCCGAGATCCACATATGTATTCCCCTCCCCATGCGATCGCAGCTGGTTTTTGGTTTCTGGCCTTTCGGTTTCGTTTTCGATTCTGGCCTGCTTCCACGCTCTCCTACAGCTAAAAGCCAACTGACTCGATCTCGGCTTAGAAATAGGTAGATGTGGACTGGCTGCTTGGCTCCGCTTGCTGATGATTCGTGTCAGCACGAAAGAAAGACGAGAAACGCCACAGAAAAGAGCGAAAGAAACCAAAGGGGCAGCAACAGACAGCAGCAGCAACTACCAAGACTACAGTAAATATTGATTAAGGGGCTCGGGTTCTAAACAAATCTATAGCCGTTTTAAGGTCCTCGACCTTGGAATACATTATCAAATCCGTAGATACTGACATTTTATCTTTCCGACGCCGTACTTTTATAAAATGTTAGTGATTTTCGGAATAAATTGATAACGGACTAAAGATAAGTATCCAATTAGTGGCAGCCACAATTATTATTTTATCAAATCTATTGGGCGAAGCGTTTGACGTTTGAAATCAAGGGTTGAACTCCGAAAATATGGCATTTCTAATATTACCTAATACTTAAATACTTCAAAAAATTGTAATATAGAAAAGTTTTATAAAAAAAATGTTATGGATTCATTAAAATTAAAAATCTTTCATTTTGGAAAAAATAAAATATATTTTTTTGGGATTGTTAAGCATTTACTCATTAATTTAGTATCGTTTTTTACAAAACATTTACTAAATATACATATGTGTACAGGACTTTTTATTAGTCAAACCAAAAAAAATTAAAAATATTTTTTTGCTGAATAACTAACTATTAACTCATATGGAATTATGCTTTCAAGTTTCTGAATAATCTTAATAATAAATAATCACAAGCAGTAAGTAAAAAAGTATTTATTAAAACCTTTCTCTGTATGTTTTAGCCAATGACTACTGTACATAACTGCGATGGTTTGTTTGAGCCAAAAAAAAGAAAATAATAGACTATAATTTTATCTTCTTGCTAAATCCTAATAACCAGTAGAAATGTATTTTCCATATTTCTACCAGTTTTTTCGTCTATTTTAATTTTTTTAAGAATTAGGACAGAAAGCTTTACATTTTGTTTAAGAATTTAAGAACATTTCCTAAACCAATATTTAACTTGTCTTTATAATTAAGCAAAATTATAATTTAAGCCTCTTGCTAAATAGTAATTACCAGTTGGGATAATTATTCTCTGAATTTTGCCAGTTTCCCCCACTGTACGAGCACAAAGCAACTGTGCCACATTGATAGGGCCTACAAATATGTATGTGAGTTAGGTCTGGTTTTGCGCAAGTTGCTGCTGTTTATAAGTCACTGTTGTTGTGGCAGGCTCGATCCAATCTCGAAAACTCAACAAGTGGAAGCAATGACCAATTATTGAGTGGTTCGGTATGGGAACTGAGGTTCCAAACAATTGATGCCCCAATATGGTGATTAACCGGGTCGGAGGAGGCGTTTCTGGATGATAGGAGTACCAGAACTTGCGCTTCTTGCAGCCACGTATGCATCGGCGTCAGAATAAAATGCAATGTTTACACCAGCGTCGCAAATGCCACAATCGCCATCCACCTCCCCATCTTATAAATATAAATACAAATATATATGGGCGTCCACGACATGTCGAACGACTCCCACGAGTTTGCGAGCGGTTTGGAAAGCCTTTCTCCCTACGCAAATCGGAAACATGACTCATCCGCCGATTTCCGAGGTTCCAAGGTTAACACATTGTTTATTCTAGCCCCCCGACTGTTTGCAAAGCCGCTGAATCAGCGTCCTACGATAATAATCCCTAATTACCCCAAAAGGTACGAAGGTGTCCCAATCACCAGGTCACAAGAACAAGAGAATCCCACGAAAACATGTGCAGCGGCATGTAAATTGCAAGGATGCACTGGCTGCATTTGCCACACACTTACGGTCCTCCATTGCGGCGATGTCTCCTGAAGGTTTCGGCAATTTTGTTAGTTGATTTAAAAGCGAACTTCACGCACTTGTCGCTAAAATTTTAAGTTGAGAATAATTTTTTTGTTTCTCTTGCTAAGCTATCGATGTCAGCTTTAACAAATCGGAGAGATGCCACTATCGATTGGAGCTTTCGGTAGAAAGATCCATCACTAGTTCAGCTATTTATGGCAGCGAACGACATAAAACAGATAAATACCACGCCCAAATGCAATATTTCATGTGTAATTGGATTTAATTTTTATAATTAAACAAAAATCTCATCTTTCCCCCTATCGATAGTTCCACAACCCTACTTGTTGCCGACCAGTCAAGAAACCTATCGGCCACCACCAGAGCTGCCAGATCGCGCCTTTATTTAAACAGAAAAGTTTCGGTTTAAAACTTTTGTATTTCAAAAGAAATAAGACATACGGTTGTATCTGCTATATCTGGTTTGGAAACAATAGTAAAAAATCGAATCGTGAGTGAAAATATCTCGATTGCAGCCAGCAAATGCCATTTGGCCTTTCGTCTCGTACATTTGATTTTGTCCGTTAATATAGGAAAATATATACATTTTATATCGTTTGTATTCTCTACGTTCTTAGAATTACTAATGCAGTTGTTGTAAATATGTATGTATATTTTTAAAAATTTACAATATCAGGTCTGTTATTCTTGGTGTTATCATACTTTTTTTTTTACGTAACAGAAGCAATCCAAATACGAAACCAAAATGAAACAAAATAAAAAGTGGCAAAAAAGATACGATTCGTTTACGTTTTTTATTGGTTTTATATGGTTTTTTGTTTTTATTGAATAGTAATAGTAAAAAATTAAAAATTTTTCTCATACTTTGTGTTTCAACTGTCTGATATTGCGCGGTGAGGAGTCTAGAAAACTGAAAAACCAACACCCGATACTCGTACAAAGTACTGGAAGAGTTCCATATCATTTTTTGTTTTTTTTTTGACAATCCACACCGCGTCGCATACGAAGTTAGTTAAGTGGAAAACATAAGTCGAAAACAATTTAATATAAATCAAGGGGATTGCACAAAATTAAAATGTTGGTACTCATTTTGAAATGTGAATAGGGTTGGTGTGTGTTTTAGGGGGTTCGGTATCATGGCTGGAGGGTTTTGAGAACAGGAGCAGACGTGCGGAAAAGATAGTTAATTAATGTATAAGTAAGGTGTATATTTGCTGTTCAAATAAATCGACATCTCCACTTCCACTCTAGCCCCGCAACGTAAGAAACGTTTTTACAATACAATCAACGTTCATTTAACATTTACTTTCGCATAAATCATAATAATCACTTAATTGGGATACGGGGGAGGGGGGAAATGGAAATTCCGAAAACGAAAGATCTGAGTATGGTATAATCAAAACGGGGGGCTATAGAGGGTAGATGTAAATAATTAACATTTTATGCTTACAATTACTTTCGTTCTTGAACGTTTTTCGCTAGTCAGTTTCAATTCAATTAACAAACCATTTGCTGAACTTTCTGCTTACTTTTAGGGAGCTTCAACTAATTAGAATATTATGTGTTGCAATGAAGAATGGTTATATAAAAAGAAATTGGCAATTAAGTGTTGTATGTATAGAGTGGCCGGGGGTTTAGCCAAAACATCGGGGAACGGAACTGGGAACTGGGGGGGCGGTGAGTCAGTTGTCTGTTTCGATTCTCGATTCTCGTATTCTATATGTTGTATAAATGCAATTTCATGTGTGTGAGCGTGTGTTCAAGAGTCGTTGTGTGTGTAGCATATATGTAGGGGGTTTTTGTGTTTCTTTGATTGATCCTGTATCAAATCATACAAAAATAGTTTCTTGTTTTGTCATTCATGTTTTCAATTAACCTGCACAAATTGCGTTGTAGAAAAGCTCCTGGGAGACAACCTATACCGTTATTTTTGACACTAGTTTTCGACTAAAGAGACGTCCGCACGACTGCCGCTGCTCTGCCCGATATAATCCAGTTCCAGCTCCTGGTCCATCTCCACATCCACATCCATCTCCATCTCCAGATCCGATCCCCGGCGCACCCCGACGTGTAGTTGTATTGCTGCTACTGCTGGCGATCGGGACACTCGGCCCGATGCACTTAGTTTTTGGGGCCCCACACGGAAGTGATGGGCGTGGTGGCCACCGGAGCCCCGCCAGCAGCGAAGTGCGGGAAGTCCTCCTGCGACTGAGTGTTGGGCGCAGTCAGGTTCTTGGCCTGCTTCTGCTTCTCCCACGGCGCGTCCTTAATGACAAAGCCGTTCTCGCTGGCACCTCCAGCGCCGGATCCAGATCCCGATCCAGAAAGGAAGGCACCGACCGTCTGCGGCTGCGGCGATGGCGGCAAGTTCTCCAAGTAGTCACGCTCGTAGTCCTCGGCCATGCTGAGCAGCACCTCCTTGGCGTTCTCAACGTCCTCCTCCTTGCCAATGATGGTCACGGCATTGGGGTTGCTTTGAGCTTCGTCGGAAGATGGGAACTTGATGTCCACCTGGTAGAAAAAGAGTATAAATTGTTAGCATAGAATTCTAGATAAAGTAACAACTTGTTACAACTTGTTCGGAATTTAACACACATGTTAAAAACATGTAAAATTGTATTTTACAGTGTGACCAAAGTGTTTGACATGTGTGTCAAAAACAAAAGTGTTAAAATGTGTAAAATAATTGTTAGCACACACAGCTTACTTGTGTTTTTTACACAATGCGTTATTAACACGACGAGTTGTTTACACACTGTGTATTTAACACAAATGAAAACAAGAGGGAACGTTATAGTCGGATGCCCCGACTATCAGATACCCGTTACTCAGGTAAAGGGAGTGCGAGGGAGATGGAGATAGAGATAGAAAACGTTGATCACGCATAACTTTTTAACGAATGGTCCGATTTGAAAAATTTCTTCTACATTTCGATAGGTATTGATAAACACAATAAAACTGCATTTTTACTTTTCCAAAATATTAAAATTTTTAAAATCGTATATAAGCGATGGTGGGCGTTAGAGGGGGCGTGGCACCATTTTGAAACAAACTTGCGCTGCGTAGGAATTCCTAAAATCTGCATGCAAAATGCCAATCTTCTAGCTTTTATAGTTTCTGAGATCTCAGCGTTCATACAGACAGACAGACGGACAGACGGACAGACAGACGGACATGGCTAGATTTACTCGGCTAGTGATCCTGATCAAGAATATATATACTTTATGGGGTCGGAAACGCTTCCTTCTCCCTGTTACATACTTTTGCACGAATACAATATACCCTTTTACTCTACGAGTAACGGGTATAATTACATTTTATGGACATTAACGAATCGAAGGGAAAATGAAGAATCAATATTAGGCCAGGATATCTTAATTGTTAAAAACTCATTGTGTTAATAGCACTTTGTGTAAAAATCACGTCGTGTAAAAAACTTTTTTTTTAACTTAACACTTTGACATTTAACATGTTAATAACACAAGTTTTTTACAGAGCAAGAGTATTCTAGCTAAGTTGGAATATGCAAATAAGACTCATTTTGAAAACCCACCTTGTAGTCCTCGATGACCTTGCGAATGGTGCGTCCGCGGTGGCCAATGATGTGCGAGTGGATGCGTGTATCGATCTCGATGACCTCGCGATGAAGGGTCTGGAGGTCGCCCACAATCTCCAGGATGGCATCGCGCGCCGCCTCCGTCTTGGCCTGGTAGCCGGTAATAGAGATGATGCGCTGATTGGGATCGTCCCGCTTGGGCAGCGAAATGTTGACGTCGTGATCGGCACGCAGCTTGTTAATCACAGCGCCATGACGACCAATGAGCTTCGAGTGGTACTCCGTGTCCACGTCCACCTGGAGCACAAAGGAGCGCAGCTCGCGATCGGCCCGATCAGCCTCATAGTCCTCGATCATCTTCTCCAGCGCCTCGCGGGCCTCAGCCACGCGAGCCGGCGTGCCGGAGACCTTGATCACATCCGACTTCAGCTCACTGGGCGGCAGCTCCACGTGCACATCGTGCTTGGACATGAACTGGCGCACATTGGCACCGCGCGGCCCAATGATGGTGCGGTGAAGGTCGAAAGGCACCGTCAGCTCCTCCTCGATGGGGATGAGATCGAGCAGAGCCTGCTTGGCGGCCTCGCACTTCTCAATCCTGCCCGTGATGCGGATAACATCGCACTGACGCACCGGCTCCACGGTCTCCGCCTCCTGCTCGCCGCCCTCCTGGCCTTCGTCGCCGCCATTCTCGCCGCTACCGCCTCCGTTGGTCAGACCCTCAACGGGCTCGGTGGCATCGCGATCGGGGAACTTGATCTGCACATCGAACTCGGAGGTCACCTGCTGAACCTTGAAGCCGCGGGCGCCCATAATGGTGCGGTGCTGACGCTGAGGAATCACCACCTCGATGGTGGTCTGCGCCTCCAGATCGGCGACGATCTCCTCGATGCGCTGACGGGCCGCCTCGATGCAGTCCTTGGCGCCCTTGATCGTCACCTTATCGGAATTGGTGCCGGCGCGGGGGAAGGAGATCATCACGCCGCCGCATTCCTCGGAAATGCGGTGCAGGATGAAGCCGCGCTTGGCCACAAAGTGCTTGTGGTGCTTGGGATCGACCTCCACCTCACCCTCGGTAACTTCGTCGCACTCCTTGATGATCGCCTCTAGCTGCTCGCGGGCCTTCTTCACACTGTCCTCCTTGCCAATGATGGTGATCACCTCCTTGTCGGTGTCCTCGTTCGAGGGGAAGATGATGCGCGCACCAGTGGCATCGCGGATCTTGCGGATAGAGGCGCCATTCTTACCGATCAGGAACTTGTGGTGCTGCTGCTTGGCGCGCACCTCGGCGGTGAAAGAAGCCAGCTGCCGCTCGTTGGCCAGCTCCAACAGTTGACCCTTGGCCTTCTCCACATCGTCCTTGGGACCGCGAATAGTTACCTGGAATTCGAAATTGACAAGGTTAATAAGGGGAACCAACTTATTTTACAGACTACTACCTTATCGCTCTTGGAGTCGCTATTGGGGAACTTGATGGATACGCCACCGCACTCCTCCATAATGGACGAGATAAGCTTGCCACCGGTGCCGATGATCGAGTTGTAGTACTTGGGCGGGATCTGCACCTCCTCGGTGACAATGTCGGAGAGCTCGTTCTGGATCTTCTGGATGCGCTCCTTGGCCTCCAGCACGTTCTCCTTCTTGCCGGTGATGACGATCACCTCGTTGGTATCACCCTCCGCGGGCAGATCGATCTTGGTCTGCGTCTCGTCGCGGATCTTCTTGATGTTGGCGCCACCCTTGCCGATGACGAACTTGTGGAACTGCTTGAAGATGGGCACCTCGATGATGTGCGACGATTCCTGGATCTCCTTGACCAGCTTGAGCAGATCCTTGTGGCACTTGTCCACATCCTCCTTGGGGCCGCGCAGCTTCACGATGTCGGTGTTCTCCTGGGGCGTGGGTATCGTGATCGTCACCTGGCGGTAGCGATCCTTCACCTCGCGAATCTTCTCGCCCTTGGCTCCGATGATGGAACGATGCAGACGGCGGTCAATGATCACATCCTTCGATTTTTCGTTTTCCAGTTTGTCGATTTTTTCTTGTAACTCAAGCTGCGCCTGCCGCACACCCTCCTTGGGTCCCTCGATGCGAATGTTGTTCTGGCCCTCGCGCTCCTCGATGTTGATGTTAACCTTCAGCTCATCCTTCAGGCGGTTCACGTTGGCGCCAGCCTTGCCGATGATATGCTTGTAGTACGAGGGATTAACAGTCATCACCTCGAACGTGAAGTTCTCCTCGTAGTTGCTGATGATCTCGGTCAGATAGGAGACAGCCCTGTCCACGTTCTCGGGATCGCCCTCCAGCTTGATCTTGTCCTCCAGGCAGTTCACGTTCACATTGGGGCAGTCCTCCTCCAGCTGCTTCATGTTGGCACCCTTGCGACCGATCACGTACTTGTGGATCCAGTGCGGGGCATTGATCTCCACCGACTTGACCGAGTTGGCCTTCTGATAGACAACGGTCAGGGCATTTCCCAAAGCCACCTGCGGGCCACGCAGCGTAATCGTCTCACAGGTGGAGTCGTTGGGCGGCATCTCCACGGACACACCGGTCAACTGCAGGATCTCGGCGATGGTGGAGCCCTTGGGGCCGATGACGTAGCGATGCTGCGGCTTGGCCACCTCCACACTAACGGTGGAGCACTTCTTCTCCATCTCCTTGAAGATGGCCTCCACCTTGGCCTTGGCCGCCGCGACGGCGTCCTTCTCGCCCGAGATGATGATCTCATCCTTCTGCACCTGCTGCGGCGGCACGTTGATCTTGGCGCCAGTCTCCTCCTGCAGCTTGTTGAGGTTCTCGCTGTAGGGACCCACGATGAAGGGATGATAGATCTTGGGCACCGTGGTGCGGTCCGACGACTTCTTGTACTGCTCGGCGGACAGCTGGCGGATCTCCTGCTCGGCCTGAGCGATACCCTCCTTGGTGCCGGCAATGGTGATGAACTCGCTCTCGTCGCCCTGGCTGGGGATGTTGATGCGCGTGGAGGTGACGCGCTCGAGCTCGCGCAACCGCTGGCCACCCTTGCCGAGGATGACGCGGTAGTGCTCCCGGGGAACGGTCACCTGGCGACTGGCCTGCGTCGAGAAGCCCATCAGGATCTTGCGACGAGCGTCGAGCAGCTCGCTCTGCTTGCCCTTGATCAGGAAGGTCAGCGATTGGTTCTTGCCGCTCACAATCTCGATCTGGGCTCCCGTCTCCTTGGTGATCTGCTGGCAAATCCGCTTCGATTCGCCCTCGCCGAACTTCTCGGACTCCGTGGACTTGCGCTCCTCGCAGGGTACATGCAAAACCTATGGGATTTGGAATTTGGGTAAGCAATATTAGAATTAGAATTGGACTTATAGGTAATCTATGTTAATTATCACACTGGTTTAAATTAGTGCCCTCATTTAATTTTTGTTTTATTATAGTATACCAAGAAATTTCTGATTTGTTTAATTCAAATCTATGTGAAATAAATTGAATGTTTTTCTAATTCATTTCGAATGGAATGAACAAATGAATAATTTTCATAAATTTTTTGAATTTGCCAGATTTAGCTTTTGCCTTCTTTTAAGAACAAAAAGTGGAACATTTTTTACAAACATTTTAATCACAAAATGATGGCCCTTTCCTCTTCAAAAGAAATTGTTGTTTGAATTATATCGGAATTCAAGCCATTCATTCATTAAATTCTATTAAACTCAAAATTAAAATTCATTCAATTCTATTAAACTCAAAATTCTGTTAATTCATTCTAATACAACAAAAAATTCAACATAATTCATTGAATCCATTCATGCAGGGCTCTACTTTAAATATATCTACTGGGATTCATTCTCCAATCTTACCTGCGTTTTCTGGGAGCTCGTCACACGGGCTAGCGTCGAGCTGGAAGCTCCGGATTGCGACGGCGCCGAGGTGTTGGCCGGCAGAGCCGGGAACAGGTCGTCGTAGCTGAAGGCGGGCGTGGCATTGCCAGTGCCGCCGCTAGTGGTGCTAGTGGGCGTGGCCACCGAAGTGGGCGATGATGGTTGCTGCTCGTTGGACACCTGCTCTTGGCCATTGATGAGGGCGATGGGCTGCTGCTCGATGGTAGTTGCTGTCGGTTGTTTTCAGGTTAGTAATTGGTTGGTAATTTCTCAATTTAGAATCACTCACCGTTGTTAGTTTCCTCCATCACTGCTGCTGCTTGCATTACTTAAAAAAAGAGAAGAGTCCTTTTTCGTTCCAAGTCGTTTACAGTACACTGAAAGTGAAGAATTAGAGATATCTTATCAAGTAGTGCTCAAAACTATTACACCATAGGGGACCTACGAACGAAACCTGTTTATCAGCTGGCGATAAAGCCTGCGATTAGTCACTAAAAAGTTTCTAGGGATTATCAGAACGTTGGTCGATCAATCAATAAGGGAAACGTTTAAATATCATTATTTCGGCAAACATGGATTTAATACAGCCCCCGTTCAGCTTCGTTTTTCATCTCTTCCTGTTGTCAGTTGCCCACAGAGCTACCAAACCCACTGGAAGTTGATAAGTGCGACCTACGAAGACCCGCATTTGAATGCCACCCGCTGATAAGAAGGTACATATGTACGTAAATAGTGGCTGCTTGGCTACAGTCAATCACTATGGACGGCAGTCCATGTAGTGACGAAGCGCACCAGGAGAGTGTGCGAAGGCGACTACTATATATACACGAAGAAATGAAAATCTGCTGTGATAGTCAGATCGTAAGAAGTAATACACCAATCGAAAGGTATTGCAAAAACTTAAAGGATTGCATACCAAGACTTTAAGAAAATCAATTGGATTGGGAGAGAGAGCGGTGAAAGTGAAAAAGTAAAAATTTAGAAATTTGGAGCTGTTGGGGCCGGTGGGGATAAATGCCCCCTCGCAATGATTTACTTGTATTCCTTTTGAAAATACCCGTCGAATGAGGGGTCATTTGTCAAAATCCGACGCTCCGTTCAAAAGTTATAGCCAAAATAAGATTTTCTTCTTCTTCCCAAAATGAAAATTTAATTCTGTTTGTCAGTTTGTCCACTTGTCCACTTGTCCACTTGTCCACTTGTCCAAAACATGTTTTTTAAGTTCTGAAAATTTGATATGACGTTCATCACATCGATATAAAAAACTTTTGTTCTACCACTTTTGGAAAAACTCGCTAGTTTAGCGGGAAAACAGCTATAAATAGCTAAAATTCGGAAAGCCGTAACTTCTATACTACTAAAGCTACAGACTTGTGCTGCATCTCGTTTGAAAGGTATTTTGAAATGCTATAAACGCCTTCTATATGCAATTTGTGTAAATGTAATAGTTAAAAAAATATGAACAAAAGACAATTTTTTAAAACTTTTTTTTAGCTTTTTTTATTTTTCTCAAAAACGGGTCTAACGATTTTCTTTAAAACCTTAAACTGTATAGCCCTTGAGATTCCTTAAATTTTGGTATATAACACATTACTGTAAAAAGTCACGTTTAATAGTTATTTTTATACGAAAATAGCCACTGTTGCCAGCTCGAACAATTAACGCTCCCTGAGTATTGAATTTTGTGGGAGGGTATCCGAACTGTATTTTAGGGTCATGGAATCAGTAAATTTGCACTTAAGAGTTCCATATAGGAATCTTTTGTTCTACGACTTTTGGAAAAAGCCGCTACTTTAGCGGGAAAGAGCTAAAAATAGCTAAATTTCGTTAGTTTGTAAGTTCTACACTACTAAAGGTACAGACATGTGCTATACCTCGTTTAAAAAGGTATTTTGAAATACTTCAACGCCTTTTTAACTCAATTTGTTAAAAATACAATAGTTTAAAAATTATGATTGACCAATTTAAATTTAAATGTATATATTAGCTCCTATAAGAGCAAAAGTAAACAAACAAAAACTTCTGATATCAAATAAAAACACCTCTTAACGAGGTAAAAAACTAGTGACGACCGCACCTTCAACATACAAAAGTTCTGATATCAACATTTGTGACGAAAAATTATTACACTCGTCATTAAATAGACTTTCAAATATTTTCTCATTCGGCACGCTGCAATAGAAAATGCCTGTGAAGGGAAAAAGGTTGGAATAGTTTGCTAGGGCGGGCCGAATGAGAAAATATTAGAAAGTCTATTTAATGACGAGTGTAATAATTTTTCGTCACAAATGTTGATATCAGAACTTTTGTATGTTGAAGGTGCGGTCGTCACTAGTTTTTCACCTCGTTAAGAGGTGTTTTTATTTGATATATTAGTACTAAGATAATTCATTGGATATGCAGCGTGACTTTAGTCAAAACTTTTGATGAAAACATAAATTAATAAGGGAAGCGAAACCTAGAACAGCTTGAAAAAATAGTTCAAGATCAAAAATGAAATAAGAACATAATAATTTACAATAGAAAGGTTAAGTTAAAATAAATTAAAAAAAATAATTTATAAAATAAAGAAAGTAGCTTTTTATATTTTTCTACATTTTTAAAAATATAAAATATATAAGAACTCATTTCAGACTTTTGATAATCTATAATACTGAACAATTTCCATGTGCGATTTAAGTTTATAAAAAACCCAAAGTCTAATTTTACCACCGTTTTCCCTCAGAAATATCCATTAAGTCTAGCTGGTTCATAAATAATTCATCAACAGCACTTATTAAGCAGACGAACGTAAAATTTCTTTCGGTTTTATTTTTTGGATTGCTGGAGAGCACAAGCAGTTCGGAAGACCTGATTTCGTGGGACGCCACTGTAAACAGTGCGTGTCCGAAGGGGGTGCGTCAAATGGATTTTGTGGCGCTGATAAACCGAAATAGACTCGGTTTCCAGACGGACTTTCTGCGCTAGAACCCGAAAGTAAGGCCACGTAGTGCTTGGATCGGCGAGATGAGTGCCCGGCTCCGCTTTTCGCTGGTGATAAGTGGACGCGGCAATGGGCCACGCAGGCAGATTCTGGTGCCGAGTGATAGCTATCGGTACCGTACAGGCGGCTGATAAGCCCGTCGTCCGATCGCCACCAAGATATCGGGGTACGCACATACGAAAAGTGCAGGTCCAGAAACATTTATAAGCTGCTATCAGTCGGATTTGGATTGGGTGAAAGGTTGGGGACAACGGAGAGAGAAAGAATGAGAGAGATCTCAACGGTGGCGAAGAAGAGACCATGCACTTGCTCGACCAAAGCTGTTTTCTAAATCAATGCCCAACGAGTTTTCGTAGCCTACATTTTCCTCTCCACCGAAAGAACAACAAAGATATGGCTGTCTCTATTGAATGTCTCTTTGTATGTACGCGCAGAGGCGGTAGCAGGATTTCTATCGAGAGGGTTTTATAAGATTATACTTGTAGTATTTCTTATTCAGAAATTATTTGTTTAGCTACTTGGAAAATAAATAGTACTTGAATACTTTTTAATTTAATATTGTACAGCACATTTAAGGATTATTTTTAACCTGATTCAGATAGGAAGTTTTAAGGATAATTTGAATCATATTTAAGGAATTTACCTATCATATTTAAGTCTACTGATTAATTTAGATCATCTTCATTAAATATCCAAAATGGATTTCCTAATAATCCTAAGTAGAAAACTAGTATCTCAAACTATTCTGTCGTTGGAGTTTGACCCCCGAAAATCCCCCGTGCCTACGCCCCTGCGGGTGGGCATGAAAAATGTGTCAAAAGAAGAGCGGGCGAGCGACAGGGACAGGGAGAGGGAGAGAGCGAGAGCTTGACGAAGTAACTTAACGGAGCAGGGGAGCAGCTCCATATAAAACCGGATGATAGCCGGCAACTACAACAAAACGATCGAGTGCTAGTGTATGTATGTATACACGAATATATGTCTGGTTGTATGCCTGCACATTTCTGTGTCGCTCTTTTTCTTCTTCGGGCTACGGTTGTATGTGTGTTGGCACCTTTCGAGAAGGCACAGGTAAAAAACGAAAACAAGCAACATACCTACATAGCAAATACCATCGTACATACGTTCGTATGTGACGCCTGCAGCGACGCTGACGTCGACAAATGAAGACAAAGCACAAAAACAATGCGCTAAAGTTCAGCTTAAAAAAAAAAACTATACAAAATTGGTATGCACATATCGGATGGATTCTTGTTTTTGTAATTTCGATACAAAGATCCCAAAGAATTAAAAAAGAAAAGCTTGACGTAGTCAGTTTTAGGCATGGAACCGTTATGGGTGTTTTTTTTTTTGGCAAAACACTTGTGTAAAATGTTAAAGTATGCAAATTAACCCTAGGCGAAGGTTGTTCAACTTACGGTACTGTAAAATCCAAAAAATCCGGCCTAGTTTACTCTCCTTTGACCAAATCCAGTTTGATAACTTGGGTGTCTGCTGGAAAAACCGAAAAACAATTGGTTCGAATTAATGCAATTAGCGGATGCAGAAGATCGTGGCATCGCCAGGATGCCCTACAATGCATTTCGTGGGGTAGTTCTGTAATTCTGCATTCTGCACATCCCCAATAGAAAGTCTGCGGTTATTTATCGTAGCGAGATAGAGAATGAGGGAGGGGTGGGCGGGGAGGTGGCGAGTGTAAAGAGGGCAACATATGCGGGCCACTTATTGGACAATTGTTTTTGTGGCAGCGGCAGCGGCATCGGCAAAGTGGAGCAGCGCGTGGGCGTGTGTGTGTGTGTGTGAGAGTATGGAAATGCGGAAATCAGAGCCGTATGTTTGCCAGGTGAAAGGTTGTGTGGATCCTCTTTTCCGGCATAGGGCGGGGCCTGCCCTCCGCCCCCTCTGCCGAAAGTAGGAAAGTTAAAAATGAAAAAAAAAACAGCACGCGCGCCTTCCAATCGGACAAATATGCTTATATATGCACGCACACACATCTGCACGGGATTTTGAGGCCCTCTGTGTGAGTGTCTGTATGTTTGTGTGGTCGACGTCGCCGCCTTCTGTGGCTGTGTGCGTGTGAGCGCGAGTGCGCCGCCCGTGTGTATTATCAACCATTGAAAAACACGTTGTTTTTCGCCGAGCGCACACAAATTTCAAGAAAATTAGCGGCCCGAATTTTCTTTCTTTTCTTTTTGATTTGCCACTGCGGCCGCCGCCGCTGCTGCTGCCTCTTCTTCTTGCTCTGCCGTCGCCGCCCACCGCTGCCGGCCCTTCATAACTGTAAATCCGTGCACTCTCTTTTCGCTCGCCGTAACTTATGCAATTCCGGCTGCAATAACGCCGCCGCACGGATCACCGGCCAATAGCGGTTGTTTTTCGCACTGCAATTTGTTAAATTCACACCCAGACTTTCTATTGGAAGGCAGAACCCACGGACGCGGAACTCAACGTTACCGACTCCAAGTAAAATGTGAATGAACATGAGCGAACGTGGCAAATAGAGATGGGCGATAGGCAGGAGTGGGCGTAGGGTTGTCGCCGTTTTCGGTGCTAAGGCGAACTGTCAAACGAACTATCGGCAGGTTGTGGCCAAATCCATTGCCGGCTTTTGGGGATTATCAAAATTGTAGTGAATTTATTTATCATAATTCAATTTCAGTGAAATACATTTTTTGAATTTTATTTAACTGATTTTTTTGTTAAAACTTATGTATAAATAAATGAGAGACATGAAATATTCTTTGTGACTTTGTAAGGTATAACTAAATCAAATTTTTTTTAAATTCGTATACAAATGATTGATACGCATTTAATTTATTAAATTAAATTATTTGCAGTAATCTGAAATCTATTACTTGTTTTCAAACAAAACTATTTGTTGTAATATTTATATTCGATTAATTTCCTCAGCAATCATCGGCTATGACTATCGATAGTCAGTGCCATCATCGGCCTGCCACCACCACCGAATCGCAAAGAATACAAAGGCAGAAAACTCCCCAATCTGTGGAATTTCCGGAGACGAGAGCCCATTCAGAGTGACGAGTTATCAGCGAACGGCATGTCGAAGCTCAGGAATCTGTTGCCCACAATCTTTGGCGGGAAGGAGGCGGCGGCGCAGAATCCAGCGGCCCCCGAGGAGGGACGCCTGGAAAGAGATGCAGCGCCCGTGGACGACGACGGCGAGCAAGATAACAACAACAGCGGAGCCCTGGCGCTGCCCTCCTCCGCTGGCACGCCCACCGCCTCCGCGGATCTCACCGAATCCGTGCTGCGCGAGCTCAGCGATCCCAACTACAACTCCATGGACGTGGTGCAGTCCGCCAATATTCCGGGCACCCTGAGCAGCGCCCAAACGAACAACACAATGAACGTGCACAGCGCCCAGCAACAGGTGGTCATGAACTTCTCGAATGCCAGCAATCTGCACTTCGGCTCCGTCTACAACATCAACCAGAACCTGAGCGCCAGTAGCTCGCGCAAGGGAAGTTGCACGGACGAGGCAGTCGCCTCACCGGAGGGCAAGCAACAGCGCTGCAATGTCGCCCGCAAAACGGTCAGCATCGTGACCATGATGCAGTCACAGGAGGAGCCGGATGTGCGTTTGCTCGACGCGGTGGCCACACATCTGGGCGAGGGATGGAAGCAGGTGATGCGGGACCTCGGCCAGTCGGAGGGTCAAATCGATCAGGCCATAATCGACCACCAAATGCACGGCAATATCCGAGAGGTGAGGCTTCTGAAGTTCTGTTGAACTTTTTCAACTTGAAATGGAGTTAAATCAGGCTAAAACATATTTGCATCAAATAGGAATAGCATTCAACTGAATTGCAATCATTACATTATTTTTGGTTTTAAAGAAAAAGTTCTAAATATGCAAAGCAAGAGGCTTTTGTGACGCATCAGACTAATTTAAAATTTCTAATTTGCATGACTCAAGTTCCTTTGTTAAGAAATTATAAAGCAAGGTCCTATGATTGAGATAAAATCTTAAAGTAAATATAAAACAGCAGTATCACTTTCAAAGCTCACTTTATAGCCATATTTCAACAACTTTTTGAATTGGCTTACATTATTGGCTGTTATGTATTTTATATAATACTTAAATTCCCTTTTACTGATACTGCTTCCATTTAATATATGATTACTTGCATGGATGAGATTAGATTGCTGTTTGAGGGATTCAAAACTTACATCTACGTTTTATTTTTTGTGAATAAGTGTTACAAAAAAATGTAAGGGCTATTGCTGAATTTAGAAATGAATATAGAAATCTCCCCCAGAATTCAAGTTGGAAAATTTCGAACGCATGACTAATATCATTAAATTAACACTTTATTTCTTGTGCATTCAGGTGATTTACCAGCTGCTGCTCCAGTGGGTTCGGAGCTCGGAGAACGGTGTGGCCACCGTCGGACGTCTCACAACGCTGCTGTGGGAGTCCCAGCATCGCGACTGCGTGCAGCGAATGAAACTGGTTTGGAAGGCACTGGAGAAACGCAAGACCAACAGCTAGCCGGTGAGGAGGATTCCTCAGCAACGATTCCAGAACGAAAACGATGCATTCGGAGCAGCCTCTCGATGTCCTGGCTTGCGGGAGGATGGAGATTGGGAAGCTTGGCCCAACCGACGTTTGCCAAATCCACAGCGGCCTTCGCTGGTCGACATCGAGCGGTGGAAATATGTGTGCAATATTTGTTTTATTAATCCAAACCTTCGAATAAGTGCCTAGATGATTGCATTAACTACTCTTTACACCAGTTTTATCTTTAAGATGTGATATTTGTGTCGAAAAGGGAACCAACTTGAAGCATTTTTGTAAAGTGTATACAAATAGAAGCTTTATTGTTACGTAACCAGAGACAATCTCATTTCTAACCTTTAAGCTAGAGTACAAAGTTACACAATCTTCGTGATCTTCGAGCTAAACATGTCGATCAGCATCTGTGCGCCGTTTCCGTTGAGTGACTGATAATTAGGCTGTCCGGCCATCCTGTTCAGCCAGCCACTCAGCTTGGGATAGCGCTTCTCATCGACTGCGGCCAAGCCCACAAGGCTGGAAACCGAGGAGACCATACTGTAGTCGGCGATGGTTATGCCCGTGCCGCAGAGGTACGGCTGACTGCCAATGAAGACCTCCAGAAAATCATAGGCCTCGTAGATTGCGTCGATCTTGGATCGCGGAACCTCTGTCTCGTTTTTGTAGAACAACGGAGCGGCAATATTACGAATGCAGCCCTGGAACAATACGCCCGACTCAAAGTGCAGGCGCTGATCCACCAGAGCGCGTTTGAAGTAATCCTTGGGATACAAAGCATCGTCCTTGGCATAGCGCCTTACAAGGTAAGCGCAAATGGCGTGGCTCTCCCAGATGCACTTGCCATCGTCTTCCAGCATGGGCACCGTGTGCTGCGGATTCTTCAGGGTGAACTCCTTGCTTCTGTGCTCCCCGGCCAGCAGGTTCACCAGCTTGTACTCGTACTGAAGTCCCAGAGCGTCGAGGGTCAGTTTACAGGCCCGCACCGGCGGACTGGCCTCTACGCCGTAAAGTACTAATTTTCCCATCGTTCTTAGGTGTCCGCTCGCTCCGGCTGTCGGTTCGAAACTAAACAAGCCGCTTCTATCGCTATTAACGATCGAGCAACAAGCGATTCAATTAATTCCATATATTACCACACCCCACTCGGCTGTTCAAAGCTTTTCCAGTCTTGCTGGCCGAGGTAATTACGATTCTACCTGATTGACATAATATTTATTCGAATGTGATATATTTAATGGAGATCTGTTCACTTGGAAGTCCTATCTCCTGTCAGTATTTTCAGCCAAAATAGCTGATAGGGTTCGATAAGGTATTCCTTTTAAACAAGTTTGAATATGGCACTTAGAGTCAAAATCTGCCAAGTGGGCCACCCCTGTTCCGAAGGTCCGATTTTCATCGAACTTTTTTACTTTTCCGGTTCACAACGAAAATATAAGAACTTCATTTGAACGGTTTTGCGAAATTTTGAGTTTTACCGGAGTTATAGGGGTCAAAACATGGCATTTTTGACACTTTTTCGAAAAAGTTGCACTCAGTCAAAAATTCATAACTTCGGAACGGTAAGAGATATCTTTATGATGTTTTCACTAATCGCTCAAGAATTATTATGGCTTTCCATAAAAAATTTAAAAAAAAATTAAAAATTTTTTTCTTAAAAATAAATCAACATTTTTTTTAGTTTTTATTTTTTTCAGTGTTCTTCACCAGCTATAGAGTTTAAAACCATTTGAAAATGAAGTTTGATTCATTACGAAAAAGATCAAAAAAAAAAAAGAGGGGCCCGGACAAAGGTTTTTCGCAATATCGATTTGAAGAAGGGCGCACAGCGGATTCCCATACAAAACGACAAAAAGTGCGTCATTGACAGCTGCAGTCGGCTGACGCTACGCGCGCAACGGCATGTGTTGACCAGCCAATTTTCACGAGCAAGCCGTTTTTGTATGGAAAACCGCTGTGCGCCCTTCTTCAAATCGATATTGCGAAAAACCTTTGTCCGGGCCCCTCTTTTTTTTTTTGATCTTTTTCGTAATGAATCAAACTTCATTTTCAAATGGTTTTAAACTCTATAGCTGGTGAAGAACACTGAAAAAAAAAAAACTAAAAAAAATGTTGATTTATTTTTAAGAAAAAAATTTTTAATTTTTTTTAAATTTTTTTATGGAAAGCCATAATAATTCTTGAGCGATTAGTGAAAACATCATAAAGATATCTCTTACCGTTCCGAAGTTATGAATTTTTGACTGAGTGCAACTTTTTCGAAAAAGTGTCAAAAATGCCATGTTTTGACCCCTATAACTCCGGTAAAACTCAAAATTTCGCAAAACCGTTCAAATGAAGTTCTTATATTTTCGTTGTGAACCGGAAAAGTAAAAAAGTTCGATGAAAATCGGACCTTCGGAACAGGGGTGGCCCACTTGGCAGATTTTGACTCTTAATAAGTTGTCAGGTGTTTAGGCTTATCATATCTGTTTATTTGATTCTTTATCAGAATTTTGTGGAAAATTCTTTAGCTTGACCCATTTAGAAAGGGTCTAAATAAGGGTTTAGAATTTAAGTTATATAAAATGATGGAGATTTTTTCTAGGATGTTTGATAAATATAATTTTTGAAACCTTTTCTAGGAAAATTTATTTTTTATCAAAGTATAAATATACTGTCCAAATCAAACGTACGAAAAATATGAGTTTTTGTAAGAGAAAGATTTCAAAAAATCATCATGATTGGAAATATTTAAGGTTTTTTTTAAGAAAGCGGGAGAGCTTTTGTCTTTTGGGTATTTAAAATAACAATAATGCAACGAGAGAAAAATTAGGTATATGTATTTGAAATGTATTTATGGGTTTTGATTTTCTGTTCGTAGACCGAACGTGATAATAATTTATAGTAGTGACCAGTAAATTATACAGTTCTACAAAACTTAGGTAAAATTATATAAATTTTTACAACAAGTAATAACATTAAGAAGCGAAGGTAAAATTAAACTTTTTAAGAAGGTCTACCAATACCCGGGCTCCCTGGCCGTTGGCGTCTTCAAAATAAGGTAGTTTTTCCAGCTTTTTAATCCAGGCAGTGATTTTGGAATATTTAACTGGATCGATGTCCACAAATGCGGCCAAAGCGGTGATTGATGTGATGAGGCTAAAGTCCGCAATGGTCAAGTGATCTCCAGCAATGTAATCGTTCCCGGTGAGAAAGGTCTCCACAAAGTCGTAGATCTCTATGACGGCATCGTAACGCTCTTTGGCCAGAGGCGAAAAGTGGTTTGGTGATGCTTCTTAGTCCGCCGGCGAAAACCACTCCGGACTCGAAGTGCAGTCGCTGATCCACCACAGCCCGCTGGAGGAGATCTTTCGGGTAGAGACTGTCGTTCTTTCCGTACTTGGACACCAGATAAGCACTGATTGCATGAGAATCCCAGATGAAGTGGCCATCGTCCTCCAAAGTGGGCACCGTGTGCTGGGGATTCTTCTTCAGGAACTCCGGGGAAAGCGTCTCCTTGGCCAGGGTGTTTATTTTCACGTACTCGTAGGGCACATCAAGGGCGGCCAAGGTCAGTTTAACCGCCCGAACTGGAGGACTAGCCTCTGTGCCATAAAGAATCAACTTGGACATTTTGTCTCTTTGGGCTTTCCTCTATAACTGAACCTAGAGTGCAAAGAGCTAGAATATTTATTTAATTTTTAAAGAGAATGCTTAAAGAGGCACATTCTCAGAAGAGAATCAGATAAAAAAACGGTAATAACTAGTTGTTCTCTTTTGCTTTATAATACTTTTTGATTATGTCAATTTCATTCATTTAGCATTTTTAAAAAATTGTTTAAGAATTTTTATTTAAAGTATTTCTATAAGTAAAAGATGTAAATGGACGTAAACTGCTTCTGTTTTAGAAACCCTTTCATATTAAAACTTAAATATTTGTTATATAAATTTTATTCATTAATTTATTTGTAATTATTAGGTAATATACTAAGATTCGAAGCTAAAATTAGTCTTCTTAATAAAGGACTCGAATGTACGGGCTCCATTGCCGTTGGCCTCCTCGTAGTAGGGAAGCTGTTGCAGTCGCTTGATCCAGGCAGTGACCTTCGGGTATTTCGCCGTGTCCACCTCCACAAAAGCCTCCAGCGAGGTCACAGTCGAGATGATGCTGAAGTCGGCAATTGTCAGCTGACCACCGGCAATGTAATCATTACCGGCGAGGAAGGTCTCCAGGAAGTCGTAGATCTCAATGATCGCATCGTAACGCTCCTTGGGAATCTTCGTTTGGCCAGCGGCGAAAAGTGGCTTGGTGATGCTTCTCAGACCGTTGGCAAAGATCACTCCGGACTCGAAGTGCAATCGCTGATCCACCACAGCCCGCTGGAGGAGATCTTTCGGGTAGAGACTGTCGGTCTTGCCGTATTTGGACACCAGATAGGCAATGATGGCATGCGAGTCCCAGATAAAGTGGCCATCGTCCTCCAAAGTGGGCACCGTGTGCTGGGGATTCTTCTTCAGGAACTCCTCAGAGAGATTCTCCTTGGCCAGGGTGTTTACCTCCACGAATTCGTAGGGCACATCCAGGGCGGCCAGAGCCAATTTAGCGGCGCGAACTGGCGGACTCGCCTCCAAACCGTACAGAGTCAACTTGGTCATCTTGTTGTTTTCAGGTGCTTTCTCCGACTGAACTCGTAGGCCGAGAGACAGTGTATTTATATTGGATTTTGAAAGAGAATCATAAAGAGACGGATTCGAGCAAGAACAGATGATAAGAAAGCTATTGTTCTCTTCTCTCTTCTTTTACAATGGTGCTTCAGTTAATTTATTTCACCATAATAAATTCAGCTAGAGCACTAAAAATACCTTCTGGAAAGATCCGTTTAATTTAATATAATTAATTTGATTAGGCTTAGCAAAAAGTATTAAATAAAATATTTACAAATCAAAACTTTTTCACCCATTTGAAAGAATTCTTTACCACTTCCCACTCCAATGAAATTATGTAATATAGGCTCTTATGATTTATCAGAATTTATCTCAATTTATTGTGACGTTTTTGATATATGTATATGTAGTTTAGAAATCAGGATTCAAATGTAAAATTGGTCTTCTTGACAATTGCGATCAACTGGCGGGCACCCTTGGCATTGGCATCCTCGTAGTAGGGAAGCTGTTCCAGCCGTTTGATCCAAGCACTGATATTGGAATATTTGACCGGGTCAAAGTCCACAAAGGCCACGAGAGAAGACACCGAAGAGACGAGACTGAAGTCCGCTATGGTCAGTTGATCGCCAGCAATGTAATCGTGTCCCTTGAGGAAGGTCTCTACAAAGTCGTAGATCTCGATAATGGCATCGTAACGCTCCTTTGGCACTTTGGTCTGTCCAAAGAAGATCACTGGCTTGGAAATGCTTCTAATTCCATTGGCAAACACCACGCCCGTCTCAAAGTGCAGCCGCTGATCCACAACAGCCCGCTGGAGCAGATCTTTGGGGTAAAGCGCATCGGAATCGGCGTATTTAGAGACCAGATAGGCAATGATTGCGTGCGAGTCCCAGATGAAGTGACCATCATCGTCCAAAGTGGGCACCGTATGCTGCGGGTTCTTCTCCACGTAGGCCGATGAAAGGTGCTCCCGAGCCACGATATCAACGTTTACATATTCGTAGGGCAGATTGAGAGCGGCCAAAGTCAGCTTTACAGCGCGAACTGGAGGGCTGGGATCCAAACCGTATAGAGTCAGTTTAACCATCTTGTCGCGGTGGGGTCTCGTTCACAACTGATCGATGGGAGCAGTACCGCTGATGAGGCCTCGGGTCATTGGAAGAGAAAGCTGAAGAGAGATTTGTTTGCGAGCAAACACCTCCAATAGCGCTTTGGATGTATTGGAGGATTACATATCGGTATTACTGCATCAGGCCACAAATTACACTTAAAAAGTATTCGCTATGAGTGTTAAAAATTAAGACTTATTCGGTATTTTTTTTAAACTTAGAAAAATTGTTTTTGAAGCGCAGTAAATACATATGTTTTGTACCTTTGTAATCTTAGTTTTTTAAATAAATTTTAGATTTAAAAAATATTACCTTACTTTTTAATCCCAAAGCAGTAACTTAAAATTTAACATTTTTAACCAGCTTTGTAATCTTTTTTTAACCTATCCCAACACGTAAAGTTTATACGAATGTTTAAAGAGCTCGAAGCGTGAACACCAGAGAGCATATGAATCATATAGATAGTAAAGTGATAAGCTTCACTTGATAAGCCCCTATCAAATTTGTTTGGCACACAACAAGTAAACAAATAGAGGCACACAGCAGTCGGATGAGAAACTACAAGTCATGCTGACAGAGGGTAATAAAATGGAAAGGCCTCGAAAATGTTTGATTGCCGGCACAAAAAGTTCGCGTTTATTGTGGTGAAATTAATGCTGTTTGAATTTAAACACATGAATTGAGAATGTAATTTTGAAACTAAAATCTCGATCAGTTAACCGTTTCTTAGTTTTACCTTTCTGCATAAAAACTCTTTTGGCAATAAGGCATATTTATTTAAAAATGGGATAACACTTATTTTCATACCAGACACCATTTTAAACTTTTTATGTTACTTTCACAGAAATTGTATTTTTAGTCGTCATCGTTAATTGCCCAGATATAATTAAAACAATTCTTTTAAGGGGGTGCTTTAAGTATTTTATTGAATTATTTATAACTAAAACACTTGAAACATTGTGAAGATTTGTTCTATTGTTATTAATCTTTTTGCGAATCTATATTCAATATTCTATATTTTTGTGCTGAGGGTTTTTCTTTTGCTATTTTACTGTTTTAGAGTAGGACTTTCCCTTAAGGCACTACGGTGAAGTTCTTGGACTTTAAGAGCTCCACAAACTGGGCGGCCCCGCTGCCGTTGGCCTCCTCGTAGTAGGGCAGCTCTTTGAGCCTTTCCAGCCAGGCGGCAATCTTGGGATACTTGGCCAGATCCAGCTCTTGGAAAACTCCAATCGAGGTGATGGTCGAGACAATGCTGAAGTCGGCTATTGTTAAATGGTCACCGGCCAAGTAATCGTGATCATCGAGAAAGGTCTCCACAAAGTCGTAGACCTGGTTAACGTGATCCACCTGATTCCGGGGCAGGGTGGGTTCGCCGCAGAAGAGCACCGGACGGGTGAGTCTCCTTAGAGCGCCCTCGAAAACAACGCCCGACTCGAAGTGCATTAGCTGATCGACCTTGGCCCGCTGCAGCAGATCCTTGGGATACAGCTCATCGCTGGCCGCATACTTCTCCACCAGATAGGCCATTATGGCATGCGACTCCCAGATGCAGGCATCGTCGTCCTGCAGCAGTGGCACCGTGTGCTGCGGATTCTTCTTCGAGTAATCCTCGCTGAAATTCTCCTTCTCGAACAGGTTGACAAACACATAGTCATAGGGCAGATCCAGGGCCTTCAGGGTGAGCAGACAAGCCCGAGTGGGCGGACTAGCGTCCAATCCGTACAGCGAGATCTTACCCATTCTCCGGTTGTTTCACAAGTGAGTGGTGAGTGGACGTTTCAGGACGAATTTATACCAAGAACCCGGGCATGGGAACCGTCAGTCTGGCATTGGATTTTTAATTAGCTCCGCCCTCACCAACTAGAAAACCTGCAGTGCACCACCATACCAAAAGCCACGCACTCTGAGAACTATTTGAAATTCAATTACCCACACTAAAAATAAGAAATAGTATGGCTTAAGAAAGATTTAGTTAGGAATTAAGCTAAAAGTATAAAATAAACCGAAAAAAATATTTAAAAATCAATTACTTACATAAAGAATGATAAATAATATAGCTAAATAATGAATTTTTAAAGAATTAAGCTAGATTATAAAATAAAGCAATTTCATAAGAAACATGCTTGGCAATATGGGGGTTAATCCCCCCCCCCTCCGCTGAAATATGGAAGGAAATGGGGTATTCAAAAAGTATGCAACACACAATTTGTACTAAAATCCCACCCCACAGCCAATTCCTAATTACTAAACGTATCCAACTTCAATGTGCCAAATGTATTTTTATTATTTTTCTGCTAAAAAGCTGTTTACAGATGTCAAACTTCATGTATGCACTTTTTATTCATTTCATTTCGGCTTCCCTTCTTTTTCTTCGAGTGTGGCCGATGCCAAAACGTTTGTCATCAACTTTCTTTAATTAGCTGAGAATTAAAAATTGATGCAGCAACGCACTCGGTAATTGTGGGAAAGCCGGCTGCCTACAGAAGGGTCAGTTGGTCCTTCAGCAAGTCCACGTACTTCCTGGCCCCGACGCCATTGGCCTCCTCGTAGTAGGGTAGTTCCTGGAGGCGCTCCAGCCAGGCGATGACCTTCGGATACTTGTCGGCCTCCAGCTGGACAAAGGCCAGCAGGGAAGAGGCTGTGGCGGCACAGCAGAAATCGGCCACGGTGAGGGTATCCCCGGTTACGTAGGGATTGTCGCCCAGGAAGGTCTCCAAATGGCCATAGCCATCCCGTACATTGTCGGCCTTTTCACGCGAAATCTCCGTGACATTGTTGCAAAAGTAAGGAGCACAGATATTCCGCAGAGGCATGAACAGAGCACTGGCATCGAAGTACAGGCGATGATCCACCTGTGCCCGCTTCACCAGATCCTTGGGATAGAGCTCGTCCGACTTGGCATACTTGCCCACCAGATAGCAAACGATGGCATGCGAGTCGCAGACGAGCACTCCATTATCATCGAGCAGCGGAATGGTGTGCTGGGGATTCTTCTGGAGGAACTCCTCCTTGCGATGTTCCCCCGCCAGGAGATCCACCACCTTGAACTCGTACTCCAACTCCAGGGCCCGCAGAGTCAGCTGACAGGATCTCACTGGGGGACTAATGTCCAAGCCGTAAAGCACAATACCCGACATGATCCAAGCTCAAACAGTTCTATCAGGGAAATGATATTGACTCTGGGGATTGCCAAAGTATTTATACCTTTTCGATGGCTTCAAAAGGGATCAGATTCAGTGCAACCACGCCACTTTCCCAAGAACTTGAAAGACGATCCTGGGTGGGGCTCCAGTCCACTGTTCACTTCTGTTCTCAGGAAAAGCCCTTCATGTTGGCGAGTTATTGTAAACATATCATATTTTAGGAGGCGTTTTCCACAAACTAGTTGTACTTTAAACAGTTCGGTTTAGCTTATAAAATTAATACCAATGGAAAACTGTTGAAAATGATGTATTGAAACATTCTTAATCTCCAGGATCAAAATAACTCAAAAACAAACATTTTAAAAAAGTAATAATTTATTAAGAAAATAAAGTAAATCATATATTGGTTTACACAATTGTGTACTTTTTGCTTTTGATGAAGGCAGCAACCTGCGACATCCGGGATCCATTGGCCTCCTCATAGTAGGGCAACTTCTTGATGCGCTGAATCCAATCCGCCAGCTTGGGGTATTTAGTGGCATCCACATCACGGAAGAACAGTGTTGTGGATAGCACAGCAATAACGTGGAAATCGGCGATGGTTAAGTTCTGGCCGGCCAGGAAGTCGTTGCTTTCCAGGAAGTAGTCGAGGGTCTTATAGACCTCCTCCAAAGCATCGAACCTGGCTTTCGGGGATCTCCGTTTTACCCTCTCTCAAAGGAGCGGAGAGACCACGACCCGTGCTGGACAAAACACTCGAGTCGTAGTGCAAACGCTGATCAACAATGGCCCGCTTTTGCAGATCCTTGGGGTACAGGGAATCGTCCTTGCCATATTTGCTCACTAGATATGAATTAATGGCATGGCTGTCGTTGATGTAGAAACCATCGTCATCCAAAGTGGGAACCGTGTGAAGTGGATTGATCTTGAGATATTCCGGCTTCAGGTGGTCCCCAGCCATTAGGTTTACGATCTTGTACTCGAATTCCACACCCAAGGCGTTGAGGGTTAGGAGCACCGAACGAACCGGAGGACTTCCGTCGATTCCGTACAGAGTGAGTTTTCCCATCGTCCTGTTTTGCTACTTGATTTTCTGGCTTTTCACTGAGCTAGTAACTCGATGAAGTGCTCCAACGCTCTGCGGTTTTTATAGACGGGGAGCTCTCTTAAGCTAAGAGAGTTTTGCAGAGCTGTGATGACGGCGCAGTAAACCCAATCCGATGACATCAGCCAATATTTCTGTGCTCTTCGAATAACCGAACCGGTGGTAGGGGCCTCTGACGTAAGAGAGCTTTAATAATGACCAGTTCGTTGGACTTATAAAGCTCTTAGCTCCTACTCTTTGTACATTTTGATATACATAGGTTAATTACAAGACTTGGACTTTATTTTGCCTGTCTAATCACTACAATCCAAAAACCCCAATTACTAGGCATATTGATTAAAGTACAGTTTGCCTATGAATCAATATAATAATTGCATCTTTTCAAACAAAAACCTCAGTGGGTTAAGCAAATTGTGATATATTGTAATCGGTCAATATTTTATATCTTATCTTATGTACAGATAAGTTATATCGTAATGTTTGTTTACAACAGGTGTATCAGAAAAAAATGGCTCTCTGCTGAATATATCTAAAGAACTTTGTTAATAAAATTGATATTTCATAGCTCTTAGAACGTGTTCCTGTTTGGAAGATTTTTGAAAAATTCAAACCCCTCTTTTAAATTGAAGAGAAAATAACTCTTAAGTTCAAGAGAGGACTTGAACTCAAGATGTAAACAATCAGTAAAAATATTAAACCCGTACATATTTGAAATTACCAAGGCAATACTAATATTTATATGGTTGTACAATGTACATTGTACGTATGTACATTATGTACCTTATCTCAAAGAAATAAAAAACCGCATATTGATTTGACAGTTATGATATTAAAAACTAATCTTGTTTGTCCCCATTTACCTTTTTAACAATACACCTGACCAATAGTTTTCCCTTATCAATTGCTTGAAAACAAGTTCCTACCGATAATAAAGCGGTACAAAAGTCAAGTGGTTTTGGTACTATTTGTTAAATAATTTATTTAGAGTATTTTAAAGGTTTTTAGACAATAGTAAAGTTCTTGCTCTTGATGAACTCGATGATTTGGGCAGCCCGGGAACCGTTGGCTTCCTCGTAGTATGGCAGCCTCTTGATGCGCTGGCTCCAGCCGGCCAGTTTGGGATATTTGGTGGCATCCACGGGCAGGAAGACCACAAATCCGGTCAAAGCGGCAGCGACGTGGAAATCGGCAATGGTCAGGTTATCGCCGGCCAGATAATCGCCAGAATTCAAGAAAAGATTCAACGACTTGTAGACACCTTCCAGGGCATCGATTCTGGCCTTTGGAATCTCCGAGTTGTTCTCCCAGAAGAGCGGGAAGGTGATAGCCCTGCCGGTGGAAGTGACCACACTGGAGTCGTAGTGCAGACGCTGATCAACGATCGCCCGCTTCTTCAGATCCTTGGGATACAGGGAGTCGTCCTTGCCATATTTGCTCACTAGATATGAATTAATGGCATGGCTGTCGGACAGAACAAACCCATCATCATCCAGGGTGGGCACCGTGTGCAGGGGATTTATCTTAAGGAACTCGGGCTTTAAGTGCTCCTTCTCCAGAAGATTGACAATCTTGTACTCGAACTCCACACCCAGGGCGTTCAAGGTGAGGAGCACGGAGCGGACTGGAGGACTTCCGTCGATTCCGTAAAGCGTAAGTTTTCCCATAGCTATGTTGTTTCGAGACTGGCTAGTAACTGTTTACAAACAGTTCAAATTCGGGGCTTTATATAGCCCCTGGTCGGTTCTCTTCAATTAAGAGAGCTTTGCTACGTTGTGATGACTCTGCAGTTTCACCTACACACCGTGTTTGGAACCTACATGAACTCACCGGCTACCACTATGTATTTCACAATACTCTTTTGACGTAAGAGAGCTTAATATTGGGCAGCTCTTTTGGGTCAAGTTTTCAAGCGTTTCTAAATGTTTGCCATCGTCTTGGAACTCAAAGGCCTATGGCTAATAGCTTGTTTATCAAGCTACGTTTTGTAAATAATGAATCGGCATTTTTTGGAATCTTAAGCAAAACCCCAAAATAAAAAAAAAAACACAAGTAAATAAGAGTTTTATGAAAAAATTTAAATTCTGTATGGTTCTCTTTCTCTCTCTTTTTTAGAAACACTTAAATTAAGTTTTCTCTTTCTTAAATATTTATATGTGTAGAGGTTTATACAAACCTGAAAATATTTCCATATATATATTATATTTGTTAAATGTGATATTTCACCTAATCCAGCTGAGAAGAAACAGCATTCCTGAATTCTTCAATATAATTTAACTCATTATTGTGCTAATCATTCTTTATTGTGTTAATAGGTTTTAGACAATTAATAATAATAATTTAAACATAAAAAGATGGGTTAATCAAATAAATCTCCAACATTTTTATAATTTGTATTATTTATTTTAAATGCAATTATTGCTCAAATTTTAAGCCGGGCTTCAGCATATTAATGTATTTCTCCAAGCTGCGAGAGCTGTCTTCCTCGTAATGGGGCAAACTGGAAAGACGCTTGAGCCAGGCCGCCACCTTGGGATATTTTTGCTGATCCAATTCGAGCACAGCAGCCAGTGCGGAGGCAGTGGCTGCGCAACAGAAATCAGCCAGGGTTATATTTGATCCAGTTAGATAGGGATTGTCACCGAGAAAGGTCTCCAAATGGCCGTAGGCATCTTTGATGCTATCGACCTTCTCCTTGGGCACCACGTTCACTTGGTGATAGAAATAGGGCAAACTAACATTCCGCAGGGACATGAATAAAATACTCGCATCGAAGAACAGTCGCTGATCCACTCGAGCCCGCTTTACCAGATCCCTGGGATAGAGCTCATCCGATTTGCCGTACTTGTCCACCAGGTAGCAAACAATGGCATGTGAGTCCCAGATGAATGTTCCATTATCATCGAGTAGCGGCACGGTGTGTTGAGGGTTCTTCTTAAGGAAATCTTCGCTGAGGTGCTCTCTTTCCAGAAGATTTATTTCCTTGTATTCGTAGTCCAAGTTCAGGGCTCGCAAAGTCAGTTTACAAGCACGGACTGGGGGACTGATGTCCATGCCATACAATACTAAAACACCCGTCATGATGCGAACACAACGAAGGATCGAGTTCTACTGAAACCTCATAACAACCAGCATACAGAAATCTCTATAAACTTAAATAAACAAGCAATTGGTTGCGCGGAGGCAGCCCCGTTTCTCTCTTAAATAAACTTTTGTAATTGTACACTGAAAAAATGAACTCTATAAACAAAGATAAGAGTCAATTTAAGAGAGAAAATTATATTTGATAAAAATAAAGCAAGCGAAATACGATAAAATAATTATTCAACCATTATCGCATTAATATATATATATATTCAGAACACATATTTTATATCGATTTATATAATATTTATACCTATTTAGTGGGAGATATTTTAAACTCAAACTTATTAGGATGAGAATAACTTCTATACTAATAGAAATGTGTGTAAAAATCTATATAACCCAGATCAAAATAAATAAAAACATCTCAAATTTCTTGTTTTCAGTAAACAATTATAATTTAATAAAATCAATTAAATTAATTTAAAGGACATGTAATGAGTAAAATTTTTGATGTGGTCTTTGATCATAAGTAAGTCATTTTAGGCACCCAGTTTGGTCCACTGGCTGCGAAGGAAGCCAACGTAGCCCTGCACCGGGCCCTCGTTGATTTCCTTGTAGTAGGGAATTTGGTTAAGGCGATCCAGCCAGGCGGTGACCTTGGGGTACTCCACTGGTTCGATGTCGACTGCAGCGCGAAGGGAACTGACTGTGGGTCCAGCGGTCAGGTCGGCGACGGTCAGTTTATCGCCGGCCAGATATTGACTGCTGCCCAGGAAGGTCTCCAGCAGCTTCAGACCCCTATGAACGGTGTCCAGTTTTTCCTGGGGCAAATGGCTCTCTGCTGAATATATCTAAAGAACTTTGTTAATAAAATTGATATTTCATAGCTCTTAGAACGTGTTCCTGTTTGGAAGATTTTTGAAAAATTCAAACCCCTCTTTTAAATTGAAGAGAAAATAACTCTTAAGTTCAAGAGAGGACTTGAACTCAAGATGTAAACAATCAGTAAAAATATTAAACCCGTACATATTTGAAATTACCAAGGCAATACTAATATTTATATGGTTGTACAATGTACATTGTACGTATGTACATTATGTACCTTATCTCAAAGAAATAAAAAACCGCATATTGATTTGACAGTTATGATATTAAAAACTAATCTTGTTTGTCCCCATTTACCTTTTTAACAATACACCTGACCAATAGTTTTCCCTTATCAATTGCTTGAAAACAAGTTCCTACCGATAATAAAGCGGTACAAAAGTCAAGTGGTTTTGGTACTATTTGTTAAATAATTTATTTAGAGTATTTTAAAGGTTTTTAGACAATAGTAAAGTTCTTGCTCTTGATGAACTCGATGATTTGGGCAGCCCGGGAACCGTTGGCTTCCTCGTAGTATGGCAGCCTCTTGATGCGCTGGCTCCAGCCGGCCAGTTTGGGATATTTGGTGGCATCCACGGGCAGGAAGACCACAAATCCGGTCAAAGCGGCAGCGACGTGGAAATCGGCAATGGTCAGGTTATCGCCGGCCAGATAATCGCCAGAATTCAAGAAAAGATTCAACGACTTGTAGACACCTTCCAGGGCATCGATTCTGGCCTTTGGAATCTCCGAGTTGTTCTCCCAGAAGAGCGGGAAGGTGATAGCCCTGCCGGTGGAAGTGACCACACTGGAGTCGTAGTGCAGACGCTGATCAACGATCGCCCGCTTCTTCAGATCCTTGGGATACAGGGAGTCGTCCTTGCCATATTTGCTCACTAGATATGAATTAATGGCATGGCTGTCGGACAGAACAAACCCATCATCATCCAGGGTGGGCACCGTGTGCAGGGGATTTATCTTAAGGAACTCGGGCTTTAAGTGCTCCTTCTCCAGAAGATTGACAATCTTGTACTCGAACTCCACACCCAGGGCGTTCAAGGTGAGGAGCACGGAGCGGACTGGAGGACTTCCGTCGATTCCGTAAAGCGTAAGTTTTCCCATAGCTATGTTGTTTCGAGACTGGCTAGTAACTGTTTACAAACAGTTCAAATTCGGGGCTTTATATAGCCCCTGGTCGGTTCTCTTCAATTAAGAGAGCTTTGCTACGTTGTGATGACTCTGCAGTTTCACCTACACACCGTGTTTGGAACCTACATGAACTCACCGGCTACCACTATGTATTTCACAATACTCTTTTGACGTAAGAGAGCTTAATATTGGGCAGCTCTTTTGGGTCAAGTTTTCAAGCGTTTCTAAATGTTTGCCATCGTCTTGGAACTCAAAGGCCTATGGCTAATAGCTTGTTTATCAAGCTACGTTTTGTAAATAATGAATCGGCATTTTTTGGAATCTTAAGCAAAACCCCAAAATAAAAAAAAAAACACAAGTAAATAAGAGTTTTATGAAAAAATTTAAATTCTGTATGGTTCTCTTTCTCTCTCTTTTTTAGAAACACTTAAATTAAGTTTTCTCTTTCTTAAATATTTATATGTGTAGAGGTTTATACAAACCTGAAAATATTTCCATATATATATTATATTTGTTAAATGTGATATTTCACCTAATCCAGCTGAGAAGAAACAGCATTCCTGAATTCTTCAATATAATTTAACTCATTATTGTGCTAATCATTCTTTATTGTGTTAATAGGTTTTAGACAATTAATAATAATAATTTAAACATAAAAAGATGGGTTAATCAAATAAATCTCCAACATTTTTATAATTTGTATTATTTATTTTAAATGCAATTATTGCTCAAATTTTAAGCCGGGCTTCAGCATATTAATGTATTTCTCCAAGCTGCGAGAGCTGTCTTCCTCGTAATGGGGCAAACTGGAAAGACGCTTGAGCCAGGCCGCCACCTTGGGATATTTTTGCTGATCCAATTCGAGCACAGCAGCCAGTGCGGAGGCAGTGGCTGCGCAACAGAAATCAGCCAGGGTTATATTTGATCCAGTTAGATAGGGATTGTCACCGAGAAAGGTCTCCAAATGGCCGTAGGCATCTTTGATGCTATCGACCTTCTCCTTGGGCACCACGTTCACTTGGTGATAGAAATAGGGCAAACTAACATTCCGCAGGGACATGAATAAAATACTCGCATCGAAGAACAGTCGCTGATCCACTCGAGCCCGCTTTACCAGATCCCTGGGATAGAGCTCATCCGATTTGCCGTACTTGTCCACCAGGTAGCAAACAATGGCATGTGAGTCCCAGATGAATGTTCCATTATCATCGAGTAGCGGCACGGTGTGTTGAGGGTTCTTCTTAAGGAAATCTTCGCTGAGGTGCTCTCTTTCCAGAAGATTTATTTCCTTGTATTCGTAGTCCAAGTTCAGGGCTCGCAAAGTCAGTTTACAAGCACGGACTGGGGGACTGATGTCCATGCCATACAATACTAAAACACCCGTCATGATGCGAACACAACGAAGGATCGAGTTCTACTGAAACCTCATAACAACCAGCATACAGAAATCTCTATAAACTTAAATAAACAAGCAATTGGTTGCGCGGAGGCAGCCCCGTTTCTCTCTTAAATAAACTTTTGTAATTGTACACTGAAAAAATGAACTCTATAAACAAAGATAAGAGTCAATTTAAGAGAGAAAATTATATTTGATAAAAATAAAGCAAGCGAAATACGATAAAATAATTATTCAACCATTATCGCATTAATATATATATATATTCAGAACACATATTTTATATCGATTTATATAATATTTATACCTATTTAGTGGGAGATATTTTAAACTCAAACTTATTAGGATGAGAATAACTTCTATACTAATAGAAATGTGTGTAAAAATCTATATAACCCAGATCAAAATAAATAAAAACATCTCAAATTTCTTGTTTTCAGTAAACAATTATAATTTAATAAAATCAATTAAATTAATTTAAAGGACATGTAATGAGTAAAATTTTTGATGTGGTCTTTGATCATAAGTAAGTCATTTTAGGCACCCAGTTTGGTCCACTGGCTGCGAAGGAAGCCAACGTAGCCCTGCACCGGGCCCTCGTTGATTTCCTTGTAGTAGGGAATTTGGTTAAGGCGATCCAGCCAGGCGGTGACCTTGGGGTACTCCACTGGTTCGATGTCGACTGCAGCGCGAAGGGAACTGACTGTGGGTCCAGCGGTCAGGTCGGCGACGGTCAGTTTATCGCCGGCCAGATATTGACTGCTGCCCAGGAAGGTCTCCAGCAGCTTCAGACCCCTATGAACGGTGTCCAGTTTTTCCTGGGGCACCTCAGTAATTCCGTTCGCAAAGAAGGGACCAACTACGTTGGCCAAGCTGGCAAAGGTAACGCTGGCATCGAAGATCAGACGTTGATTGATGATCGCCCGCTTGACCAGATCCTTGGGATACAGCTCGTCAGACTTGGCGTACTTATCCACCAAGTAGGCAGAGATGGCGTGCGAGTCCCAGAGGAAGGTGCCGTTATCCTCCAGAACGGGCACCGTGTGCTGGGGGTTCTTCTTCAAGAAATCCTCTTGAAGATGCTCGCCCTTCTGAAGATTCACCTCCTTGAATTCGTAATCCAAATTCAGGGCCTTGAGGGTCAGTTTGACGGCCCTCACACAGGGACTAAGGTCCGTTCCATAAAGTACTAGTCCAGAGCTCGACATGTTGTGTAGTTAAAACCGAAAGTGATTCTATTTTGGCTGATATCCCCCCATTTCCTTTTTATACCGCTTTGCAAAAAGCTTTTTCCGAACTTTCGCGCATTTCGGCATGTAAAGATACAAGTCAGAGCTTTTGTTTGTTTGTTTGATTTTAAGTTAAAACTGCTTTGTTCAGCATTATTTGCTATTTTAATTATTTCATCAGGAGAAACATTGATAGTGTAGATTTCTGTGACGTTAGAAATCTAGAACTAAGCTAAAAATGCTGACGTTTAAAAAGAATGCGACAGTCATGCCTATTTATATTCTTGCAGTGTATTCAATAAACTGTAGTCATTGTTCTTAGAGTAAGAGGGCATACATGCGCGGATCCACCGGGGGGATTTTGAGAAACTACTGCCCCCCCATTCGGTTAAAAAATTAATGAAAATGTGGTATTCCAATTCGTGAATCCGCCACTTACATATACATTACGGACATGAGTGCATCTCAATGAAGTCTAACAAGTCAGACTGAACTACAGACGCTACTGGTTAGTATTTAGAAAATGTACACATTGTGAATGCGGTGTTTTTCCATTTTAATATTTCTTACTTCTCGCTGAACTTGGTCCATTTGCTACGGAAGGAAGGCTACAAAATTTAGCAACTTAGCATATAGTACGCTATCATATTGAGTCGATCCAGCCAAGCGATGATTTTCGAATAGACCGCAAAACAGATGGAACGGCATTAGCAACCGGACCAGAGCAAAACATTCTTAAGCAGAACATACACAGACTACCCTAATTGAATTAGCTTCTAATAAAAACGACAAAATTTTAATATCTTTCGAAAATAACCTGTAAACGAATCCAATAATCACTCTACCCTGTAAACAATTTATAGCGATTTGAAGAAAAGTCAGGAAATATATATTGTTCTAAGCAAACATTTTTAATAATTGATAAGATTATGTTTTACAAATGTAGGTGCAAATTGGGAAAGGATGGAACGTCAATAAGATGCCATTATTCGTATCTTTTTTCACTTATCGCCCAGTTTGGTCCACTGGCTGCGAAGGAAGTCGACGTATCCCTGTGCCGGAGCCTCGTTGATCTCCTTGAAGTAGGGGATCTGGTTGAGGCGATCCAGCCAGGCAGTGACCTTGGGATAGACCTCCGGATCAATATCGACTGCGACGGGCAGGGCGGTCACAGTGGGTCCAGTGCTCAGATCAGCGAGGGTCAATGAATCGCCGGCCAGATAGGGACTGCTGCTGAGGAAGGCCTCCAGCAGCGCCAGACCCCTGTGAATAGTGTCTATTTTTTCCTGGGGCACCACAGTAATGCCATTTATCCAGAAGGGGCCAGTTACGTTGGCTACACTGGCAAAAATAACACTGGCGTCGAAGAACAGACGTTGGTTGATGATCGCCCGCTTGACCAGATCCTTGGGATACAGCTCATCCGACTTGGCGTACTTATCCACCAAGTAGGCGGCGATGGCGTGCGAGTCCCACAGAAAAATTCCATTATCATCCAGTACGGGCACCGTGTGTTGCGGGTTCATCTTCAGGTAATTCTCGCTCAGATGCTCGCCTGCTTCGAGATTCACCTCCTTGTATTCGTAGTCCAAATTCAGCGCCTTGAGCACCAGTTTGATGGTCCTCACACAGGGACTTAGGTCCACTCCATAAAGAACAATTCCCGAGCTCGACATTTTGTGTAGTTTATCCAGCAGAGCTTCTATTACGACTGATCTGCTCTCGACTTACTATAAAATTTTTCCCTGAAAGCTTTTGGCTGAATGTGAGAGCGATTCGGAAATTACAGATAAAAGCTCGAACTTGAGTGTTTGCTGGTTCCTATACAAACATTATTTGTATAAAATTGTATACACCAAAAATAACCTCCGAATTTCCTTAAAATCTAGAAAACATATTCATGAATTTTTTCCCAAGTCGACCTCACAGTTGCTTAAATATCTCAATATTAAGGTGTTATGGTCTACGTTTTTTTAAGCCGATGTAATTGCCCTTCTCGTAATGGGAAAAACTGGAAAGGCGCTTGAGCCGAACCGCCACTTTTGTATATTTTTGCTGATCCAATTCAAGCAGAGTGGCCCCGCAAAAATAATACCTGATAACAATAAAACAAACACTATTGACAGGCTTCCAGCACTTGAGATAACAATTACTCAACCATTATCGCAATACCCCCAAGCTAAAGTGACGTCTAAAACGTATTTATATTCAGAAACCATAAAATGAAATTTTTTTCTAGGAATAGATTGATTAAACAATTTTTGTTGTATATTGTATGCTTAGAACAGGAGAACTGACTTAAAGTAAAAAATAAATTAAAACTGTTCTCTAAATAACTAGTATGTTTCAACGCTACACAGTGGTCTTAAAATTGGATGATGTCTTTTTTCCTCTAGAAGATTACTCAGGCACCAAGTTTGGTCCACTGGCTGCGAAGGAAGCTGACGTAGGCCTGAACCGGCCCCTCATTGATTTCCTCGTAGTAAGGGGTCTGATTAAGGCGATCCAGCCAGGCAGTGACCTTGGGGTACTCCACTGTTTCGATGTCGACGGCAGCGCGAAGAGCACTGACTGTGGGTCCACTGATTAGGTCGGCCAGGGTCAGGGAATCACCCACCAGATATGGACTGCTTGCCAAGAAGGACTCCAGCAACTTGAGACCCCTGTGTACCGTGTCCAGTTTCTCCTGAGCCACCTCAGTAACACCGCTAAACCAGAAGGGACGGACTATGTTGGATAATCCTGGATAGGTAACGCTGGCCTCGAAGAACAGGCGTTGATTGATGATCGCCCGCTTGACCAGATCCTTGGGATACAGCTCGTCCGATTTGGCGTACTTATCCACCAAATAGGTGGCGATGGCGTGGGAGTCCCAGAGAATGGTTCCGTTATCATCCAGTACGGGCACCGTGTGCTGGGGGTTCTTCTTCAGGTATTCTTCGCTTATATGCTCGCCCTTCTGGAGATTCACCTCTTTAAATTCGTAGTCCAAATTGAGGGCCTTGAGCGTCAGTCGAACGGACCTCACACAGGGACTAAAATCTGTTCCATACAGTACTATTCCCGAGCTCGACATTTTGTGTTAGTTACCCACCGAAAACGATTCTAATATGGCTCTATTATGGGCCCCATTTACTTTTTATACCGCTTTGTAGAAAGCTTTTTCCAAGCGCTCTCTCATTTCAGCATGTAAAGATAAAAGCTCTGGCTTCTGTTTGTTTGTTTGTTTGACTTTAAGTTAAAACTGCTTTGCTCATCATTATATGCTATATTGAGGAGAAACATTGGTAGTGTAGAATTCTGTGACGTCATTTTATAGTTGATAGTAGTAAGCTAAAAATGCTGACCTATTAAATAAATATGAAAGTCATGCTTATTAGTCTTACAGTGTAATCAATCAATTGTAATCATTGTTCTGAGAGTACGAGGGCACATACAGATATTCGGTTGCTATGTATGCACTACGGATAAGAATGCGCTACAGTAAAATCTACATTTTTTTAAAAAAATCTATACAGTGGAAATTAATTATTTTCTTTATTTAGGTATTTCTTTATCGCCCAACTTGGTCCATTTGCTGCGGAGGAAGGCGACAAAATTCTTGGTTGTCTCCTCATTGATTTCTTTATAGTATGGTATCTTATTGAGTCGATCCAGCCACGCGGTGATCTTGGGATAGACCGCAGGATCAATGTCCACGGCACATGGAATGGCACTAACAACCGGACCAGTGCAAAAATCTGCGATGGTCAGCGAGTCACCCGCCAGAAATTGGCTGCTAGTCAGGAAAGTCTCCAGCAATTGAAGACCCCGATTTACGGTGTCCAGCTTCTCCTGGGGAACCTCAGTGATTCCATTTATCCAAAACGGACGGGTTACATTAGCTATTGCGGCATAGATAACGCTAGCCTCGAAGAACATGCGCTGATTTATGATCGCCCGCTTGACCAGATCCTTGGGATACAGTTCGTCCGATTTGCCGTACTTATCCACCAAATAGGCGGCGATGGCGTGCGAGTCCCATAAGAAGGTTCCATTATCATCTAGCACTGGCACCGTGTGCTGTGGGTTCTTCTTCAGGTAATCTTCGCTGAGATGCTCGCCAGCCTGGAGATTAACCTCCTTGAATTCGTAATCCAATTCCAGCGCCTTGAGGGTCAATTTCACTGCCCTAACGCAGGGACTCAAGTCCGTTCCGTACAGTACAATGCCAGTTTTTGACATGCTGATTGTTTATCCAACAAAACTTGTATAGCAATGATCTTCCCTCGGTCTATTATATACTGTTTTGGCGAAAAGCTTTTTGTGTGAATATACATACAAGTTAAAGCTCTATTTGGGGTGCTTATTCCGTACACCTTATCAATATTATACATATATCAGGGGCGTAGGCATGGGGGAGATGGGTTGGGGATTTTGGGGGTTTAACCCCCCTCCCCCTCGGCTAAAATCCTATGGAAAAAATGGTTATAAGAAGTGTATTCCACAAAATTTTTACTGGAAACCCCTCCTCAACTTAATCCTGTCTACGCCAGTGGTCTAAATTATTTATTTCTTCTTCTCACACACTAACCTAGTTGACTTAGCTCCTAATAAAGATGGCCAAACATAAATATCTTTCCAAAATAACCTGTAACCCAGCGGTCGGCAGCGTAAAGGGTATTGTTCTGCCTCTGTCAGCTCACTTACACTGAACAATGAACACAAACGATCAGGATAGATATTTTGTTTCAAACAAATATTTTTAATAATTGAAAAGTTTATGTTTTACAAATGTAGGTGCAAATTGGGAATGGATGGAACATAAATAACATGCCTTTATTCGTATTTTTGTTGGTTTTCGCTGATTTTTCCTTTAGCATATGGCTCACTTATCGCCCAGTTTGGTCCACTGGCTGCGAAGGAAGCTGACGTAGCCCTGAGCCGGAGCCTCGTTGATCTCCTTGAAGTAGGGGATCTGGTTGAGGCGATCCAGCCAGGCGGTGACCTTGGGATAGACCGCAGGATCAATATCGACTGCGGCGGGCAGGGAGCTGACAGTGGGTCCAGTGTTTAGATCGGCGAGGGTCAGAGAATCGCCGGCCAGGTAAGGACTGCTGCTGAGGAAGGTCTCCAGCAGCGCCAGACCCCTGTGAATGGTGTCCAGTTTTTCCTGGGGCACCACAGTAACGCCATTCACCCAGAAGGGACCGCTGACGTTGCCCAAGCTGGCGAAGATGACGCTGGCGTCAAAGATCAGACGCTGGTTGATAATCGCCCGCTTGACCAGATCCTTGGGATACAACTCGTCCGATTTGGCGTACTTATCCACCAAGTAGGCGGCGATGGCGTGCGAGTCCCAGAGAATGGTTCCGTTATCATCCAGTACGGGCACCGTGTGCTGCGGGTTCATCTTCAGGTATTCCTCGCTCAGATGCTCGCCAGCCTGGAGGTTCACCTCCTTGTACTTGTAGTCCAAATTCAGAGCCTTGAGGACTATTTTGACGGCCCTCACACAGGGACTAAGGTCCACTCCGTACAGTACAATTCCTGAGCTCGACATTTTGTGTAGTTTATCCAACAGTGCTTCTATTACAACTGATCTGCTCTCCACTTACTTTATATGTACCTTTTTGGCCGAAAGCTTTTTGCTGAATGTGAGAGCGATTCGAAAACTACAGATAAAAGCTCTAGCTTGAGTGTTTGCTGGTTTCCATACAAACAATGTTTAGATGAATTTCTATATTAATTATTTCACCAGGAAAAACATATATTGCCTGGATTGGTGAATATTTCTGGAACGATTGTACTATATTTTTTCATGGTGAAATTTTTGATGGTCAAGTAGATAGTAGATGGTTTAAAAAATCGAAAAGTTCTTAATACAGTTTTTCGTTGATTGTAACTCACGTTGAGAACTCATAAAGCCATTTTAAATTAAAGAAAATGTAGAAAAGAGTCAAGGCTAAAAAAAATATAACTAGAACTAGTTAATTTACGTTTACTTGCTCCCTAGAGAACTACCCCTAACCACTTTAGTAAAACCAAGCAACGCAAATTCATCATTTCGCTTTTTGCATGACATGTCTGCCATCACATCGTTTGTCTAAAACTAGGGAAATGGGTCCCCAGAGGAAAATGTTGTTATAGCTTTCAATTCAGTTTTTAATTCACTTTAAAAAATATGGTAGGATAGGTAAAGTATTAGCTTCCCGTATATTTATACAATCTTCTTTACGTTAACATACACAATCTGTAAAATTTCTATAGACAATATATAAAAATCTTTAGTAAATTTATTACATGTTAGAATGTAAAAACTTCAGGTTTCAAACCAGGTCCCTTTAATTCTATGTCATAAAACAGAGATAAAATATTCGCTTTTATTAGCCAATTTTAATGTGTTTCACAGTGCTGTTTATATAATCTAGGTCGTTACCAAGGCAGTGTCCCATACCCATGTAGAGAGTACTCCGATGGCCAACCGCCACCTCCAATACTACAGGGTATGGGATATTTTAGATTCGTGTAAAGTGTAAAGTGTAGAATCCATGTTTACATATATGTATAATGGTTTTGTCAGTTTTCTTAACCAAGCTTAAAGTTCTTAAAAGCGAAAGCAAAGCTTCGAAATAAAATATCTAAAGCTAATATTACGCATAGCGCCTCATATCTAATTAATATTACCTCAAAACATTTTTAGTGAAATCTAAAAAATAAAGAGGATAATCTGAAACGTACTTTTTGAAAAAGCACGTAAAATAATAAATAAATAAAATTAAGAAAACGTTTTTTTTAAAGCTAATGTATTGAATAATCAGTTTGTTATGAGTTTTAATTTTTCTATTCAGAGGTATGCAGTACCTTTTTTTTGCGTAAAAGTTCTCCACCCATGATCACGAAATCGTGGGACGTTGGCCAAATATTTACGCAGCTATAGATAGGAGGCCGACTTATCTCGGGCATTAATAAACAATCAGCCAAACTTAAACTTGCAGCATTATGACGTCTTTGTGATAATTACGAAGACACTAAGTTTAGTAACTTATCTTATCGGGGTTCTAGTTTAAAATCATTTCGGGTGCCTTGAGTCAGTTGTGGATGGCCCACTGTTAGCGACGAATCTCAATTTAAGCAGCTAGAAGGCGTAATAAAAAAGTGAAGTAATCAAGATGGTTAACCTGATTTTATATGGAACTGAGGTTAGTCCACCGGTTCGAGCCGTTCTGCTGACTCTACGCGCCCTCCAGCTGGAGCATGAGTACCGCCCCCTGGACATGCGAGCTGGGGATCATCTGAAGCCGGAAATGTTGCGCAAGAATCCGCAGCACACGGTGCCAATGCTGGAGGATGGTGACTCGTGCATTTGGGACTCGCATGCCATCATCGGCTATCTGGTGAACAAGTACGCCCAGTCGGACGAGCTGTATCCCAAGGATCCGTTTCAGCGGGCCATTGTGGATCAGCGGCTGCATTTCGAGACCGGTGTCCTCTTCCACGGCATTTTCAAGCAGCTGCAGAGGGCTCTCTTCAAGGAGAACGCCACCGAGGTGCCCAAGGATCGATTGGCTGAGCTGCGGGATGCCTACGCATTGCTGGAGCAGTTTCTGGCCGAGAATCCCTATTTGGCCGGTCCTCAATTGACCATCGCCGACTTTAGCATTGTGGCCACGGTGAGCACCCTGCATCTGAGCTACTGCCCCGTGGATGGTGGCAAATACCCCAAGTTAGCCGCTTGGTTGGCACGCCTTTCTGCGTTGCCCTTCTATGAGGAGGACAACTTGAGAGGAGCCCGCCTTCTGGCCGACAAGATCCGGGCCAAGCTGCCCAAACAGTTTGACAAACTGTGGCAAAAGGCCTTCGAGGACATCAAGAGCGGAGCAGGAAAACAGTGATTCCAAATATATATTTCTTCATTGTAAAGCAAGGATTACCTCAAGAGAAATTACGTGTAAAAGCCTCTTAAGAGTCGTACATTAAATATTTAATTTCTTTTGAAAAACTAAAACATTTGCATTTTTTTTTAGAGATTTCTGGCCTTATAAAGATGCTTGACCGGTAAAGGTCATTGTTTCCTGGAATTTTCCTCGCCTCGAGCAGCTACCTCGCATCTTTCGAATCACTCCCCTGGAAAAAGTTATTTCCGGGAGCATGGAGTGCATTTCCAATGGCAACGCAGCCAAAAGTTTACAACTTTTTTGCGCTCATTAAAATTATAAAATTTTCCCCTCCACAAAGCGACACAAAATAGAAGTAGGCGAAGGGAATGAAAAGCGCAAAGTTTTCCTGCCGTGTCGTGCATGCTAAAGTTGTTAAATCATAATTAATTTATGACGGCGCCATCCGCCCAAGCAGCTAGCCGTTGAACTCCCCATTTCCCCACCGCCCCACCATCCCAGCCACTTCCAAATTTGCCTCTTATCTACACTCGGGTCTCGGCCTCGAACTCCCCCGCCCTTCCTCCGTGAAGTTCCCAAAAAGGACCGCGTCGTCGTTTAAAATACTCTTAAAATGGAGCCCAAGTCTAAATACCTGCTGGGTGTAGTCCGTTTTTAACCCCACAAGTGTCCTGGAGGAGATGCTGTCGTGAGCCAAGCAGAAAGCACGCAATCACGTTTTCAGGATTTTAATAAATAAATATTCGGGAAAAAATCAAATATAATATATCTGCAAAGTGGTAGTCATAAGCAAACCAAAAAAAAATTTTCGTAGGACTTTCTTGTTAGAAAATTCAGTTTAATAATATTTTGTTTTTGGTAAAAAATTATTAAAAATATTTTGTTTTTGGTAAAAAAATATCTTTAAGCTAAGTTTGTAGGTCCTTAAAGTTGTAGTTTAAATTTATGCGCTCTTTCACGGGTTTTCCTTTAAATCTTTTTTTTTTGAAACGTTGATTGAATAATATTAAAATAGGGTTTAATGAGTATATTATGAATGTGTGTAAATACTTTTGCTAAGGTTCGTTATAAATTGATTAAGACTTAAAAAGAATAATTTATTTTTCGAATAAGTATTGGCAGACTCAAACCATTTTAATTAAATTTTCATGATTGGTTCAAAATTACAACAGTATTTCTGTTATAATAAAACACTTTATAATTCACAGGTTCCATTTGAGGCTTAATAATTTTTTTTCAATTTTTCTTTTCTTAAAATACAATCTAAGCCAGGAACCTGCAAAATCCCAAGGATCGGATTCAGGAACTCGTGACTCTGTGGGCATTACAGGGACTTACCTTGCGTCGCCAGGTTTTATGCGCCTCATTGCAGCGGCGACGGCGTCGAGAGTGGTGGCAGGCAAACTAATTGGTTTAATTTCAACTTTTACTTTGGCCCACCCTGTCGCCCAGCCACCCACCCCGTCGTCCTTGTGCCTTAAACACCCCACATTTCGCCCACCGTGTCAGTGGCATTTGAGAAGTTTGCTTTGCTTTACGCTTCGCCTGGCACTTCACTTGCCTTCGTGGCGGGACGCTTTTACTTTTTCCTTTTCCGCTTTTACAGCCTTCCACTTTGCCGGTTTATTTCCTCCTTTGCCTATTTTTTTCGGATCAAAGTCTTTGCAGAGGGAGGCGCATTAATTTATAGTATCATTATTTCCAAAAACAACGGGAATTTTGCTCAGAAAGACTAGAGAAGCATATGATAGCAGAATTTCAAGAATCCATACGAATTACCACCCTATCAAAGAAACATTTTTAATTATGGAAAATTTAATTATATTTATACAATTGAAAAAAAAACTTTATTTTGGTTGCACGGCGCTTCGAAGTTCGAACTCGTTTCCAATGGGTTTAGTTAATATTTTCTCCCGAGTTGGACAAAGGTTTAAAACATCTGGATGGTTTTTTTGTTACTTGGTTGATATTTCCAAAAGATGGCACATTTGGCAGGAGGATACATTTATTTTAAAATCGGTTAGCTTAAAGCTTATATTTGATGCTTCGCAGGATGGGGAATTTTTCGCCGGCACATTGACCTCGAAAGTCATCGAGGGACAGGTCGTGGAAGGACACTCCGCCCAATCCTTGGGCTTGGACGTAGCCGGCCTTGATGGCCGCCGTTGTGGGGTCCTCGTAGCCCACCCACAGGCCATTATCTCCATGATCATCGGCCGCCCGATAGGCGTAGATCCCATAACGCTTGGTGGGATCGCCCACCTTGCGCAGATGCGGGACTTCCCGATCCTGCGGAGGCAGCTGCTGGAGCAAGTCACAAGTTTCCGGCCAACTCAGTAATCCGGGGGTAACAGTTTGCCTTCCCGCCGGAGCAGCTCCATTTGCCGCTGGAATTGGTGGATAGCCAGTGATTCCAGAGTTTCGAGTCATATTCCAAGCACGTCCATAACTGGCCACTCCCACGTGTAGTTTGTGGGCACTGATTTCGGAGGTTTGGTTCATCCAATACTCCACCTGGTACCGCACATTGTGGCTGGGATCCCGATCGTACATGGCGTACAGTGGAGCCGGCAGATCTGCCACCTTGGGATCTCGTTCCGGGGTCTGGAAGTCATAGGTGCCCAGGTTGACAAAGTCCACATGGCGTAGAACCGTGGGAACATCTATGAAGACTGGAGAAAAGGATTATATTAGTAAAAATCTTTACTAAAATCGTAACACATTAATTTGTTTCTGAGTTATTTAAAAGTTGTGCCAATTTTAAAATAGTTTGAAAACTCTTTGTCTTTTTAGTCCCAAAAAATCTACTATTACATAAGATATTATTATTTGTATGTAAAAAGTAGACTGTAAATGGAAAAAGGGTTTTAGAACGATCCGGAACAACCAGGTCTTAAATATTTTTCAAAACTCCGTTTTTAAAGGTCGTTTCGAGAACGATTTTTCTGTTTTTTAAAGTGTGTGGGAGTTATGTCCGAATCTGTTTAACAAGCATTATAAATTTAATAAAAAAAACGTAGCAACTAAAATGTGAAAACTTGAAAGTTTTCCTTGACTTTACTCACGTTCTGCTGAAACATGTGGCAGCATGGTGACGGTCAAGAGTTGTCCGCCGCGTCGCAAATCCGATTGCAGCTCTCCCAGAAGGGTGGCGAACTGGTCTCGATGCTCCTGGGCCTTCTCGTCCACCGATGAGGAACTAAACCAGCCACGAACAGAGCCCCAAACCCTCTTAAAAACTCCCTGCTGAACTTTCGGTTTGTTTTTGGGAAACTGCCAGGCGAGATCGAGTCCATCGAAGCCGTTGTTGTTCAGCTCTGCCATAACGCTGGCCTGGAAGCTTTTTCTGTGCTCCGACTGTTCCAGTAGTCTCAGGTACTTGCCAGTATCTGCCACGCCCTCGCTGTCCAAGTCCAAGTCCCTACCACCGCCCACCGAGAGCAGGAACCGGACATGCGGAAATTTCTGGCGCAGAGCGGTAATGTGACGATAGTGCTGGTGGTCCCTAGTCAACGAAGGATTCAAGCTCTTGATCTTGTAGGTCTCGGCGTCGATACCCGCATAGCCGTAGACCAAAAAGTTGCAAAACTGCAGGGCGGGCTCCAGTTCCGCCAGCGACATTTGAGCGGGGCCTGAAACGAGAGATAACCCCCCATGTACTTGGCACTCATAGATTAGAACTATCCAAAACTCACCTTCACGCACAAAACTCTGAGCATCGTAGAAGCAGACTAGTTTTCCCACCTCAGCGGATATGCACTGCAAGAATGCTAGAAAACTGCAGAGCAGTAAGCCCTTATATAAATTGTTGGAGGCTGACATTAATGCTCCGTAGTACTGATCAGCTTTAAGTTAGATTAACAACTGAATTGGGACGACAGATTGTTATGATGAGCCACAGTCAAAGCTTTGTCAAAACAAACAGAGCTGATAAGAAAATATTGTGATTAAGTAGTGTTCCGATTTTTTATATTTATAAAAATAATACAATAGTTTAAATGGGTGTCTAAAAAAATAAACAAAAATACTAAGGAACCTAAATAAAATATATTAAAGTCAACAAAAATATTTAAATTTCAGAAAAATTCTACAAGAACTTAAAGGCGTTGCATACTTTTAAGCGAATAGGATTTTACAAATAAATATTTTCGATTAGATAATAACATTTTGTAATCAAATATCAAACTACATTTCTAACGCAATTGGTAAATCTTTAAATCTAAGAAAAAAATCACTTGAAAATTTCTTTAAATCAAAAATTTGTAATTCCATTTGGACACACTTGTCCCTTCAGCTATTTATAAATTTTCCTTTATCTACAGTTGCCACAAACTGGCAAGCAAACACCCACCACACACATTATCGTACACCCATTAGTGTCTGTCAAAGTAAAGAGTGGGTGGTTAAGGTGGTGGTTTGGTTTGGGTATCAAAGTGTCACTTCCACAACTTCAATGCCAATCCGAAGTCCTGCACTCAGCACCAATTTACCGATTCCCACGAGACAATAATGTTTGTTCATGCTCGTAACGCTTAAGCACATTAAAGCCCTCGACTACGGCGACGGAATGATGAGTTGTCACTCCCCGGGAGAAGGCCGCCATAACTGGAGGTCACCACTCAAACATGTATGGCCATGTCCGTGTCCTTCATCCCCTTCACCACCACATGATTAGCCATTTTACTCACGTGGCAGCGGGGGCAAAATGTGTTGACTGCCTTGTCATTTGATGGGAATGGAAGGGTCAGCTCGCAGGCGTTGGGATCAGTGGTCAGTTACTGTTTTGCCTTTGAAAACTTTTTGGGGGTAATATGAAAAGGATTGAAAGTCCAATTGTGTAGTTATATGTGTACAATGCTCATGGAAAATCTTTTCTTAATTAACTTTTTTTAGGGAAAGCCCTTTTCAAATGTAGCTTCTTTAGCTTAACAATTTTAAATGTGTTAGCCATAGTATTAAATATTAAATTAAATAAGATTTACTCAAAAAAGCTAAAATAAGTTAATATTTGCTAAACATACATACAGAAAACCAAATAGGTAATTTTTGAATAATTAAAATGTGGTTTTCACCTTGAAACATTTGGTTCGCCCAAGAATGAACAGCAAAACTGGGTTAGCCGCGTGCCAAAAGGCACAAAATGAATTTCAAGTTTATGCATAAGGACGCAGTTGGTTGCATCATAAAATCAAATGGTGAAAGCTATAAAACTAACCGCAGCACAAAAAAAGGACAATAAAGGAGGCAGGCGGTGGGGCAAAGCCAACAGGAATCAACAGAATGTAACCGCAAGCACGGACGCTTAGGCAATCAACTAACAGAATGCACACATGTTCAGCAACACTGCTTTCTACTTTCCTACCCACTCGACTCCCAGCCCATTGTCAGTGCCACGCCCACTCCAGGGGCGCAACCAAGAGGATGTTACAAGATTTAATTAACAATAGAAAAGTAAAATTAAATTTCTGGTTATATAAATTAATAAAGTTTTTGATTGTTTAATTTTATTAAAAAAATCATACAACAGTGAAGAATTAAAGATTAAAAGCCCCTCTTCTTGCATCTTATAAAATCTTTACTACGCCCCTGATCCGTTAACCCAGCCCTTTCGCCTCAGGTTGACAGTAAACTAATAGAGGAGCAGCTGCCAGGAAGCCATTATATTCAAAGCGATAGGAAGAGCGCTGCAATTACACATAAATATAAATGCACAGGAAAAAACGTTAATGGGTTAAAAAGTGTTTAGGAAACGCATATATATCACAAAAAAATTCATAATAAACTTATTTTTATTTAAAAACAAGAGAGAACGTTATAGTCGGGTGCCCCGACTATCAGATACCCGTTACTCAGATAAAGGGAGTGCGAGGGAGATGGAGATATATATTGAAAACTTTGATCACGCATAACTTTTTAACGAATGGTCCGATTTGAAAAATTTCTTCTACATTTCGATAGGTATTGATAAACACAATAAAACTGCATTTTTACTTTTCCAAAATATTAAAGTTTTTAAAATCGTATATAAGCGATTGTGGGCGTTAGAGGGGGCGTGGCACCATTTTGAAACAAACTTGCGCTGCGTAGGAACTCCTAAAATCTGCATGCAAAATTCCAACCTTCTAGCTTTTATAGTTTCCGAGATCTCAGCGTTCATACAGACAGACAGACGGACAGACGGACAGACAGACGGACAGACGGACATGGCTAGATCGACTCGGCTAGTGATCCTGATCAAGAATATATATACTTTATGGGGTCGGAAACGCTTCCTTCTCCCTGTTACATACTTTTGCACGAATACAATATACCCTTTTACTCTACGAGTAACGGGTATAATAAACGAAGTCTACTTTGGTGTTTTATATTACGTATACGTAGAACTTCCGTTGCAACGCTAACCTTTTTTAAAGGATTAAAGTACCTAAGCTGTAATTAAATTAAATTAAATAATTATTAAAATATTATTATTTTATTTAAACTTAAATTTGTTTGAACAGCTAATTGATTTTTAAAGTAAGAAACAGTCAGCTAAATCAAACTTGTCTTTTAGTTAAATTAATAGAGCATAAGCATATCCACTTGAGACTCCTGACAAACCGCTCCTTAACACCACTTGAGTCTTCCAATTGAAACATTTGGCCACCGGGGTAACGCTTTAATCGTGCCACAAAGTCAACTCCTGGTTGCCTTTAACTCCTGAATACCCTCTCGACTGGATGATTAACTTTTTCGAGAGACATGTGGCAGCTGTCGCTGCCCGCAGCGTAATTAAATTGTTAACGCACACGTGTCGGCTGTCCGTCTATCCAGGGGCACATTTCCACGTATAAAGTGTACGCACATACATACGTTCATCCGGTTGAAGTTCATTTATCCGTAATGCCATCTACGTTGACAAATGTGTAAAAAACAACAACAGCATTTAGCACACGCGGCACTAATCCAGTGTGAGTGGAAGCTGGGTTGGCAGAGTAAAACCCTTTTCTCCGCCCCATTCGCATTCACCTTTCTGGTCCTCGAAACCACCGAATCGCCCCAAGCCCCCGAATCACCCAAAAAACTCATTTTGCATGGAGCTTGGCTGGTGGTTTTTAATGCTTCATTGGCTTAATTGCCAGCCATGTGCGAAAACACATACACAGTACAAAGAAGATTAAAATTAAAAAGGAAAAATAATAAAAATTAATTTCTTAAAAATACCAAAAATGCCAAATCAAGGTTTTTGATGCAGTTTTTTTTATAAATAAAACAAATTTAATAAACTAATATAACTTTTAAAAAAGTTGATAACAAAGCTTCAGGTTAATTTAAACGTATTCATACATTTTAAAATAGCATTTTAAATAAATATGAATAACCATTTTTTAATATGTTGGATTAATCACAATTTATGATGCGATTTTCTTTTCAGTGCACCTATGGACGAGCAGACTTACTTATAAACAGAATCAAGCAGACACACCTACAACAACTTTTGCGTGGCAAAGTTAATTCGACCACAAACACGTTCATTTACCTTTTGCGGGTACATAGACACACAAATCCTGAACAAAAAAACATTAAACAAGTTGAATTCCATCAAGGAAAACTCTGGTCAGGATTGTAAAAACTTTTCCATAAAACTTTTTACAAAATAAATATTTCTTTAAGCTAAGAAGTTTAATATTCTAGTACATTTGCATAACAAAATCAAACATAATTTTTCAAAATTTTTTATTTACAGTTAATTATATTTATAATTTCTATATTTATTTTTATTTAATATAGTTTCAATTTGCTGTATAAGATAAGAATATATACTAAATTTGAGAAAACGAATATATATTTACATTTTCTAATCAAGAATGTATGTATGTAATAAGTCCTACAATCAAATAAATCGGAAATTGGAAAATTCTAATAGTGGTTAAATGTATTTTTATTAGAGGAACACGCAAATCACAAACAAAGATCTTTTCAAAGCTATAACGAACGGGATAGGCTGCTGTTAAAATCAAGTTATGACGCATTTTTATATGTTTCTATATTATATTCCAAATGCCATGAATTAATTGAAAAAGTGCGCAATTTGCTAATCAATCCGACTTGGCGGGGCTATAAAAGAGACCTGTTCGAACGGATTGGCAAATTAGTCGCTGAAATCACTCACAATATGAAGCTGTTCTCGATCGCGTTTGTTTTGGGCCTCTTGGCTCTGGTCAGTGGTGAGTGAAAGGATATTCTAAATAATCTGCACTCAAAACTAACTGAATACTTTTGTATTTAGCCACTCCCCTTAATCCCGGCAATGTGATCATTAACGGCGACTGCAGAGTTTGCAATGTTCGAGGCGATTAATATAAACATCGGAAGATGAGCTCTTGTTGCTCTTTTGCGACAAAATATGAAATAAAATAAGTTCACATTATCCATTACTCACTGTATTTTGTTGGGGAAAGGAAATATGGTTTTAATTTTACAGCGCATGGTAAATTTCTTCATAAAGTTAATGACAATATGTGAAACAAGGCTCTTTAAAGAAAGTACAAAAGGTTTGTCGAGAAACAACCGCATTTTCTTTTTAATTTATGGTTACGCCACTTGACATCGATCCGGCTCAAAATTAGTTTGTTACCACCCAATTAATTTAAATTAAATAAATAATGTAGGTATGCTGAAAATATTTATTTTTTACAACTGTGAGTTACATAATGTTATTGGCTTCAGTTTAGCCTCCGTGCACATTACAATTTCGGCAATCTCCATTGATAATAACGTTACCAGGAACCAGCGGGGAAGCTTTAAAAATTAAAATGCACTTTAAATCTTTCACAAGGATTAAAGGATTTAAAGTTTACTCACCCTTGGCCATGGCCAACAGACCAACCAAAAGCAAGAAGGAAATCAACTTCATATTGCTTGCAATGCTTCAAACTCAACTAATGATAGAACACCTTGTTGGCTTTCCTTTATAGGAACCCTTAAAATGAAATCAATACGCTGGTATTTCCCGGAAAATAATTCTTTAGGTATAGGAAGGCGTATTCGAGTATATATACTGGAAATGCCCCACAAATAAAATATTTCCCACTGATAAGCCGATTTACAAATATCAAAAGTTGCATAACAAAAGCTGACGATAATGAAATCAATCAGTGTAATAAAAACATGATTAAAATTCCCGAGGGTTAGGAAAAGTTCAAGCACTTACAGAAAACAAAATGGGTAAAAGTGAATTGTTTTAAATTATTTATTATTTTCACAAAAAACTATCTACAAATTCGCCATATTTAAAAATACACATTGTACATTGTGCTTAACTACACGAACAAAAATACAAATAAAAATAGTTTTTATAAAATTTAAACATAGATTTGTCAAATGTTTTTCTTAGTGTTTTAAAATAGAAACCACAAAGAAATTTCGAAATCCCATTATAATTTAGATACTTTGTACCCAAAAAAAAAACAATCACTAAAAGCTTGAATAAATCTTTGTTTTATTTACAAAATGATTAGACAGTCATTGAACTGAACAAATGATAAATAATTCCAAAGAACACCGCTCCGGATGTCAGAGTGTACGACGTAGAACCACCCGTCTTATGGTCAGAAGGCATTATTATACCATCATCGTTATCGGGCTTATTGCACTCAACGCACTGCCCATTAATATAAACCTTACCCGGTGTGGCTGCAATTGGGAAATTATTAGCTACAAAAAATATATATTTAATTGTTATAACAATTACCGTTGACCGCAGCCAGCAAGCAAAAGAGCAGCAAAAAGCAGCAGGCGACTTGAAGAGGTTTCATGTTCGTCGGAGACTTCGAATAAATCTGATGGAGAAAACGTTAGTGCTCGGCGCTTTATATAGGATCAGTATATAGTATTCCCCAACCTATGCGGGTTTTTACAGTTACTGATAAAGACCATATCAATTGGTAACAAATATTTTAAGATTTTAGAATTTTATTTATACATCTTAATAAGTAATGTTAAATTTTAAAACCAACGGTAAAATAAACAATTATTTTCACACTCATTGTAAGTAACAGTCAAAAAAATTCCGTTTACTTCCCAAAAAAGTTAAATATTTAATATGAACACTTAAATTATTCAATTAAATAATTTTTGTACAGTTGTAACTATTTATTTTTAAAAGCTTTGAATTCTTTGAATTATTTTTATTTCCTCAAATTTATTTTTTTTTAATTTTATTGTGGCTCTGAAAAACTTTAACTGTCCGCCTTATCGCATAAGATGTCGTGCTCCTTATAACTGTCTTGAAAAAAGTAGAGAATAAGACATTTCCCAATAAAAAAGTATATTTTGTGTACTTTAAATATTTTTTTATTAAAAGGAATATTTTTTTTCAATTTTGTATTACATTTTTAAATGACTTAAAAATATTTGGCTGTGTGAACTGCAACTGGCTTGTTGACTTTCCCCCATCTCTGCTGCCCTCTCAAGCCCTCACATTGCAGACTCGGCAGTCGCCGTTGATGATGACATTGCCAGGATTCAGGGGAGTGGCTAGAGACGAAATATAATTAAAATCACAATTAAATAACTTATGTAGTTTGCAAATAGTTCTGTTTACTCACCGTTGGCCAGAGCCAGCAGACCCAAGACAAAGGCAAGCGACAGGAATTTCATGTTGTTTTGATTTTGTGGTTTGTTTTTGAGGTTGACTCGAGAGGATTTGCAGCTGACAACTGATGCTGAGAGTAGGGAAATCAACTGCTTATATAGCCACTATCGCAGAGCTTCTGGCTAGACCGATTCGTCTTATCAAGGTGGCTGCAGCGACACGGGGAAAAGTCTGCCAGAGATGCTGGGATTCTCCCAGAGCAAACACCCCAGACCAGAAATTCCCCGAGTGCAGTAGTGCGACGTTCTCAATGAAATTGAGCGTAAACAAGTGCAGGCTGATAGCCCCGGGGTGAGAGATTGGGGAAGGGAAATCCAAGCTGGTCCAGAGCGATATTCAATTCACGTGCGGTGCTCAGATTGCAAACCTGATTTCATTTGACTTAGCGCCCCTGCGATGTTTTCCAAGTATTGAGACCCGTTTTACACGTTCAATACCGTCGAAACAATAAATGTTTAAATTAACACCGTCTTTATTAGCAAGAATTGCGAAAAGTTGCAAAAAGGGGTAACCAAGTTAGTGGGAAAGGGTGTTATTCTTTTTGAGGCCGAAGGCCCAAAGAAAACTTTATATAGTATCCTCCTATAAATCGATTCTATTAATGTATTAATGAAATAAACCAATAATATTCCTTTTAATAAACTATAACTGATTGAATATCAAATAAAAACACCTCTTAACGAGGTAAAAAACTAGTGACGATCGCACCTTCAACGTACAAAAGTGCTGATATCAACTTTTGTGACGAAAAATGATTTAAGATGCGACTAAATAAGTACGCTACCTAAAATTTATTCATTCGGCACGCTACAACAGAAAACTTTCGTGTAGATATTAAATATTTGATAAAGCGGGCCGAACGAGTAAATTTTAGGTAGCGTACTTATTTAGTCGCATCTAAAATCATTTTTCGTCACAAAAGTTGATATTAGAACTTTTGTACGTTGAAGGTGCGATCGTCACTAGTTTTTTACCTCGTTAAGAGGGTTTTTATTTGATATGATCAAAGGAGCTTTAGAACATATTACAATATGGTCAAAGGGGCCTTAGAACCAGGGAACGAAAATAACTGTTATTGTAAATTTTTCATACAAAAAAATCACGCACTTAGAAGGGTCCTAAAAATTTTTTAAATACACCACAATTTTTATTAGCCATTGTAGTTTACAAATCCGTAATGATTTTTATTTTTTGATTTTTATAATAAAACTCAAAAAATAACTGTTATTTTTTGATTTTTATGAATAACAGTTATTCCCTTGACATTTTTGAAAAAATGAAATAATTAAAAAAACATGATACCCGTGCTTTTTATAACTTACTAAAAATTTGTTAAAAAAGGCAACCGCGCATATTTTATACCTATATTTTTTTAAAATTTTGTTTACCCACAAAATCGCCAAAAATCAAGTTTGAGTTTTATTTTTGATCACGACGAATAACTGTTATTTGTCAACTTTTATTATAAAACTCAAAAAATAACAGTTATTCTTTGAGTTTTACTTTACAAATCAGAAAATAACTGTTAAAGTGTGATTTTTAAAATAAAACTTATAACAGTTACGTTCCCTGCTAAGAACATATTACAATATGGTCAAAGGGGCCTTAGAACATATTACAATATGGTCAAAGGGCGCCTTAGAACATATTACAATATGGTCAAAGGGCGCCTTAGAACATATTACAATATGGTCTAAGGGGCCTTAGAACATATTACAATATGGTCAAAGGTGCCTTAGAACATATTACAATATGGTCAAAGGGGGCTTAGAACATATTACAATATGGTCAAAGGGGCCTTAGAACATATTACAATATGGTCAAAGGAGCCTTAGAACATATTACAATATGGTCAAAGGAGCCTTAGAACATATTATAATACGGTCAAAGGTGCCTTAGAACATATTACAATATGGTCTAAGGGCCTTAGAACATATTACAATATGGTCAAAGGGGCCTTAGAACATATTACAATATGGTCAAAGGGGCCTTAGAACATATTACAATATGGTCAAAGGGGCCTTAGAACATATTACAAAATGGTCAAAGGGGCCTTAGAACATATTACAATATGGTCAAAGGGGCCTTAGAACATATTACAATATGGTCAAAGGGGCCTTAGAACATATTACAATATGGTCAAAGGGGCCTTAGAACATATTACAAAATGGTCAAAGGGGCCTTAGAACATATTACAATATGGTCAAAGGGGCCTTAGAACATATTACAATATGGTCAAAGGGGCCTTAGAACATATTACAATATGGTCAAAGGGGCCTTAGAACATATTACAATATGGTCAAAGGGCGCCTTAGAACATATTACAATATGGTCAAAGGTGCCTTAGAACATATTACAATATGGTCAAAGGTGCCTTAGAACATATTACAATATGGTCAAAGGGGCCTTAGAACATATTACAATATGGTCAAAGGGGCCTTAGAACATATTACAATATGGTCAAAGGGCCTTAGAATATATTACAATATGGTCAAAGGGGCCTTAGAACATATTACAATATGGTCAAAGGGGCCTTAGAACATATTACAATATGGTCAAAGGGGCCTTAGAACATATTACAATATGGTCAAAGGGCCTTAGAACATATTACAATATGGTCAAAGGGGCCTTAGAACATATTACAATATGGTCAAAGGTGCCTTAGAACATATTACAATATGGTCAAAGGGGCCTTAGAACATATTACAATATGGTCAAAGGGGCCTTAGAACATATTACAATATGGTCAAAGGGGCCTTAGAACATATTACAATATGGTCAAAAGGCGCCTTAGAACATATTACAATATGGTCAAAGGGCCTTAGAACATATTACAATATGGTCAAAGGGCGCCTTAGAACATATTACAATATGGTCAAAGGGGCCTTAAAACATATTACAATATGGTCAAAGGGGCCTTAGAACATATTACAATATGGTCAAAGGGGCCTTAGAACATATTACAATATGGTCAAAGGTGCCTTAGAACATATTACAATATGGTCAAAGGGGCCTTAGAACATATTACAATATGGTCAAAGGGCGCCTTAGAACATATTACAATATGGTCAAAGGTGCCTTAGAACATATTACAATATGGTCAAAGGGGCCTTAGAACATATTACAATATGGTCAAAGGGGCCTTAGAACATATTACAATATGGTCAAAGGGGCCTTAGAACATATTACAATATGGTCAAAAGGCGCCTTAGAACATATTACAATATGGTCAAAGGGCCTTAGAACATATTACAATATGGTCAATGGGGCCTTAGAACATATTACAATATGGTCAAAAGGGCCTTAGAACATATTACAATATGGTCAAAGGAGTCTTAGAACATATTATAATATGGTCAAAGGTGCCTTAGAACATATTACAATATGGTCAAAGGTGCCTTAGAACATATTACAATATGGTCAAAGGGGCCTTAGAACATATTACAATATGGTCAAAGGTGCCTTAGAACATATTACAATATGGTCAAAGGGGCCTTAGAACATATTACAATATGGTCAAAGGGGCCTTAGAACATATTACAATATGGTCAAAGGGGCCTTAGAACATATTACAATATGGTCAAAAGGCGCCTTAGAACATATTACAATATGGTCAAAGGGCCTTAGAACATATTACAATATGGTCAATGGCGCCTTAGAACATATTACAATATGGTCAAAAGGGCCTTAGAACATATTACAATATGGTCAAAGGAGTCTTAGAACATATTATAATATGGTCAAAGGTGCCTTAGAACATATTACAATATGGTCAAAGGTGCCTTAGAACATATTACAATATGGTCAAAGGTGCCTTAGAACATATTACAATATGGTCAAAGGGGCCTTAGAACATATTACAATATGGTCAAAGGGCCTTAGAATATATTACAATATGGTCAAAGGTGCCTTAGAACATATTACAATATGGTCAAAGGTGCCTTAGAACATATTACAATATGGTCAAAGGTGCCTTAGAACATATTACAATATGGTAAAAGGGGCCTTAGAACATATTACAATACGGTCAAAGGTGCCTTAGAACATATTACAATATGGTCAAAGGGCGCCTTAGAACATATTACAATATGGTCAAAGGTGCCTTAGAACATATTACAATATGGTCAAAGGGGCCTTAGAACATATTACAATATGGTCAAAGGTGCCTTAGAACATATTACAATATGGTCAAAGGGGCCTTAGAACATATTACAATATGGTCAAAGGG